CATTATTGACAGTCTTATATGCTGCTTTATACAGCGGGAAAAATAAAAACTATGGAACTTGGGTGAGATTGAATAGATAAAGTAACATTTAAGAATAATATATATTAAAATGTTTGAAAACCTAATTCTTGAAAGGGTCTAGTTAAGTATTTGTTGTTGGCATCTTAACTCTTGAAGTCCTAGAAAAACTGCTCCAGTCTGCCATCAGTGTTCCTGTGTGCATTCTTAGAGAAGCTTTCTTCATAGCCTTCAGAAAAAAAGGAATTAAAAGTAAGGTAATTTTTAAATTGTTATTTAAACAAAGTAAGGGATAGAACTCTGGACATCTGGGATAAAGTTTGTAACTGAATATATAAGAATATATCTGACTTCACAAAATTAAATGTAGACCATATGGCTAATAACACTCAACAATTCTCATAATATTTTAAAATCTTGTTTTTATTAGAGCCAAAGAAACCTAACTCTCAGTTTATAAGGGGAGATTTTCAATAATTTCTAAAATTATCTAACTATTTGGATATATATTGAATTTATTATAGCTGGAATTAGTTTGCCAAAATAAGAATTCCTTTTTAGTAAAAGTAGATTTCAATTATTTGGCAGTGTACTTAACTAGAATTGGAACTGAAGCACCATTATTCATGATAGTCATAATTCTGAACCATGCATGCATAGTTTCATGGTTGTTTATAGGTACCATGTGAAAGTGCTTTAGTTTTTATATTTAAAAAATATATATAAAGAGTAAATTATTGTAGAGTGTTTTCAGAAGTTACTGAAGTCAGTTGAAAGCTACATTTCAACATCAGAATAGAGTTAAAGCAATTCTATTTTTATGAGAAGAAGCATTTGTCTCTGTAGTTAAGAAATTAATTGGAATGTTTTTTCTTTCAAGGATTACTTGAAAAGGTAGAACATCGGTAATGTACATTCTAAGTGCCTTTTTTCAGTCTTTAATATTTACCAACAGGCAGTTGAGTATATTTTCAGTTTCCACTCAGCTAATGAGTAATTTACATTTTCTGAGGTTAAGACCAAGGTACCCATTTCCATGAAAGTAAAATTTGGATAGTACGGTTATCCTTGTATCTTAAAAATAAGAAGACAAACATTAAATGTTAAATTTTTTTGTCCTGAGATGTTAAGACCACCCAGAATTTTCATAGTCAAAACATAGCCTCTTTTTTTTTTTTTTTTTGACCAAGGGAGTATCTGTTTTGAGATCTAAAGTTGTATTGATTCATATCTCCCTTTGGAGGTTTTAACTTCATGGCCAAAGAAAAGTGTCCTAAATAGTAAAGTAATAACTGCATTGTGAACATTTCAAACTCACAAAAATTCCTATTGTTTTCCCTGAATTACGTATTTTCCATTGTAATGAGTTCCATTTTTAAAAACCAAGGAAAGGAACATTTGTGGAAGTAAAGAGGCTGATACATAGGGATAGGTTGTAAGGAGAACATGGTATTGTGAAATGAAATTAAGACTGTTAAAATAACATTAGGAGTGCCACAAAGTAAACCACACCATTTTAAGAGATGGACAAAAATCCTGAGTTCTGGAAATGCCAATCTTGAGCCCATGCACAAATTCTAGGAGGCATCTGTTGAGAGTGGAACTGTAATGGCTCTTTCAGGTAGGTAGTGAGTGTGTATGCATTTTATCTTCCTGGTACACTAATGCCATAGAAAATAATGACCCTCAACATGTTAAAATTTGGTTTTTATTTGGGGTCATCAGCAAGAAGCAGGCTCAACACCAGAAGTTCCTGTCCCAATATATAAGTAGCAATTTGGAGTTTGCTAGTTTGCGGTGGAAGTGGGAGATGAGGTTTAATTAACTAGAAACATTTCAAAAACTTGCTTAATGTATGACTTCTGAAAATTAAGTGAAAGCAAAGAGATAAATACTATTTTCTAAAGTTGTCTTCCCTGAGGCCTTTCAAGATCCTCACCAGCTGAAAATTTCCCTGTCCCATCACCTGTCATTAAAAATTACCGCCTTCATATATAAATATGCCCAGCATTATACATTATTTTAAATGTGACATGTCTCCACTAGATTGTAAGCCTTCGGAGGTCAGAAAAATGCATCTTGATCATTGTATCTGCTACCACATCTAGTACAGGGCCTTACACAATTGCTAATTCAATAAATATTAAAGTAATGGAGATCTTACTGGATTTTATTTTGATGTTTATAAGCCCTTTTAGATGGGTACATTATCAACTGATTTTTTTTACTTTATTGTAGTTGCAAAATGTACCTCTAGCACATGACAATTCGCATTTATAAAAAAATTACACATTAATTGTACTAGTTCACCACAGCTACCGTTAGTCTAGGGACCATTGTCACGAAGAAATACAATGCAAACCACAAATGTACTTAAAATTTTTCTAGTTACAGAAGAAACGGGATTAGCATTTTTAGCCCATTCTAAAATATCATTTAGCATATAATCAAGTTTTGAAAGTTTGAGATAGTTTGTATTTTCATGTCTTCAAAATCTAATGCATATTTTACACAAAATCTAAAGCATAGTCACACTTCAAGTGCTCAAAGGCAGAGATAATGGCTAGTACTGCATTGGACTTTAAGTTCTGATAGGGAGTCATCAGTTTGATTTCATGTCATTGCCATTTTAGATTGTTATAATCCAAATAAAGCTAATTAGTATGACTGGTTTTTGCCATGTTCTTAAATTGGTAAAATAAGAAAACTTTGTATTAAGCATTGTAAAAAGCTTTCATCCAATTTAATTTCTCTTACAAAGATACCTCTGTTTTAGAGTTGAGAAGGCAGGGAGGGGTTGAGAGATAGGACAAGCAATTAATAATTTGCCCAGTGTAATACAACTGCTAGAGGGTGGAGCTGGTTTCAGAAACAGCATTACTTGTCCTGCCCCTATCTCCACTAGGAAGTTCATACAGTTGAAAGAAGTCAGGCTGTGTGTGAATGTGAAAATGGATTCTACACCATAAAGTTAAAAATGTATAATGAACTAAACATTACTTAATTTTATTAGATAAGGCCTGTCTAAATGGGAATATTTCTTTTTCTTGTTTTAGGTAGGGACTGCAAAGATTTTCTTATGGCAGAAAGGTTTCTGAGTTTAAGGGCAATATGGAAATGTAGACTATTGTTTAATTTGCTTATTCTTAATGCCTCTGCTAAGAAAAATCATAGGAAAGAAATCTTAGTGGGATGTTACAAAGATGTCTAGTTTGAACAGAACAGAATATTTATCTTTGAAATGCACTGGCAATACCAAAATGTTGAACAGTAATTTCAGAATAATCTTGTAAGAAAGAAAGAAAAAAAAAAAAAGCTATTGGGAATATAACTTTCCAAAAAAGCCAAAAATGTAATAATATACCCAGGTATAAAAGCACTGAAGACCACAAGTAGGCATATGATATACTTAATTTAAACCACATACACCATTTATTTATATTTCAGTATGGCCTTAGAATGTCCATATAAACAAGTGGCTATAGATAAAGGGGATGGGGGGGGGAGTATGCAAGTGAAATTAAATACATATGTATCCCCAAAACAACAAAAATAAGCTTTCCAATGATGGTAGTCTTTTGAATGTCTTTGAAATGGAATAACATGAGCATATTTGTGATTTTTAAACTATATCTATGGTGAGGATCAGTGAAATGGGTATTTTTATATACTACTGTCATTCTAGGAAGAAATTTGGCAGCATCATGTTCTTATGCTTTAATCCAACAATTTTATTAATGCTGGTCCTCAAATTATTAGAAATATGTGTAGATTTATAATCAAGGATACTATCGATGAAATTAGACATTAATGGAATAAGGAATGACACATTCTGAAAGAGAATGCATCATTTTAAAATGACCCATGTATTAGGAATAACCTGGGAAAACATGAAACTACGTAACACTTAAAATTTTTTTCTGAACATGTCTGTAACTGCACTTGGGAAGGTAATGTCCTAAGGAGAAATAGGCAGCCTGAGAACGCCAGCTGCGGGGTTAGAATGGCCTCAACTCCCCCATTTCGTTGGCTGTATTGATTCCTAGCAAGTTTCACCGCCTCGGTAATGTAGCCGCCAAATGGGAGAAAAAAGCCTACCTACATCTTGAGGTGAATGAGTGAAGGTTAAAGACAATGCTTAGCGCGCCGTCTAAATTTTAGTTGGGACTAGAATGACGTCTCTGCTTCAGAGTAGCGTAGGAGCGAAAATCAAAATTTAGAGATGTGACGACTTAATAATCAGAAAGCCCTACGAGACTACGAGAGAGATTTAATCTAAACTACCAACCTGCCTCGTCCAAATCCTGCAGATTTTGGTTAGGTCCGCGGGGCTGGAGTGCACTGAGCACTACCTCGCCCGCGAACACGCACAAGATGCCTCGCAGGGGCGGCGGCCGGTGCTCTGACGCTTCCGTACTAATTACAGCGATGTTTTTTATTCGCCCGCCCCTAGTTGGGGCGTCGCGCCAAGCACAGACCTGCCCCCAGTCGGAGCTGCGGCCCCCGTGAGGACAGGGTAGGGCAGGGGGGCGCAGCCACTAGCTCCATCCGCCCCCACCATGGGCTCACGTCACAAAGACTACAGCGCCCAGCAGGCACCGCGGGCTCCGGGGGTCCCGCCGACAGCGTCTCCCGCGTGTGGGGATCTTTTTCTCCCTTGCTCTGGGCATCACCTTCTCTCTCTGCTGCAAGACAGGTGGTTACGGGGTCCTGCAGTTTCTCCTGGGTTTCCGAGAAGGCTGGTCTCTGGCGGAGCCCGACTCGTTAGAAGTTGCCCCTGCGGCTCCGGATGGGCGGGCGGAGCGGCCGGCCGCGCACCGGGTGACGGCGTCGCGCGCGTCGCGCTCGTCGCGCGCGTCTCACGACCATTTCCCCCCCCACCCTCGGCTGGGGGCGGTGACCGCGCACGCGCGCCGGCGCCCTGGGGGGCGGGGCCTTCGGTGACTGCAGCCCGCGGACTGTCCGCGGGTCCGCGGGTTCGCGGCTGCGTGGGTCGGCCGCCCGGCCGGCTGGGCGGGGACGCTGGAGGTTGACGGGGTCGCCTCGACCTCGGCTTCACACGGTAGCGCTGCTTCAGCCGACATGGTGCCCTGGGTGCGGGCGATAGGGGAGAAGCTGAAGCAGCGGCTGCGGCTGGACGTGGGACGCGAGATCTGCCGCCAGTACCCGCTGTTTTGCTTCCTGCTGCTCTGCCTCAGCGCCGCCTCCCTGCTCCTCAACAGGTAACCCTCGCAGCCAGCCGGGCGGCGGGCCGAGGGCTGCCGACGCAGGCCGGTGTTGCTTCCCCGTGTGGAGACCGGGCCGGCCGCACAGCTGCGAGGCTCGGGGACCCCGCGAGGCCTCTGGGGAGAGCGACTCCGGGAGAGCGAGCGGGCCCGGAAGTGCGGGTGGGGGTGGGCTCGAGCGCCCCATTTCCAAGGCTTCTTTTCCTAAGTCACCCCGCCCCGATTCTTACCTTCTTTTCGTCCATTTCTTAAAACCTGGTCCTCCACCATCGATATATATATATATTTTTTTCAGAGTAGTGAAATCTCTTAAGTCCGACCCGATTTGACACCATACAGGGGCGGCCCAATCAGCTGACAGAGGAGGGTTCAAGGTTCTGTCGCAGCTACAGTTTTAGGTACCTTCCCTCTCACCACACAGAGACACATACTCAGAAAGCAAAATATGTATCTGGAATATTCCTAAAGGGAAGGCTATTGGTAAAATATGTAACTACTCCGAAAGTTAAATTGGTAAGTTTAGTTGACAACTTGAAATCTGAAGGTTCAGTCTTTGAAATCAGCTTGTATATGTCCTTCATTTTGCTATTTCTAGAATTGGTAGCGATGAAGTAGGTAACACATGAGAGGTTTTTCTTCAAAATCATTTCCAGATTTGCTTTTGGTGGATAAAGTCTGAGATAGTTGTCAGCGACAGCGTCTGCTTCATGTTTTCTCAGACGTTTTGAATAGGCAACCATCCCTTCATTTATGGTAGTTGATTCCCAAGAAGAGAAACTTGATTCCCAAGAAGAGGAATGGGAAGGGTTCACAAGGAATTTGTTAACTTTTTGCTTAAAGGTAACCACTTCCTGTGAACTGAGTTGAAGTTGGATTTCTTTGCTAGCTGCTTTGCTTTCTTGTTAGTTGATACTGGGTTTAAATAATTCTAGGTTTTAGTAGCGATTTATGCCATTATAAAATGTGCTTTGATAGTAATGGTGAGATGTTTGATGTAGGAGTATGGACAAAATGGGAGTCTTTAATAGAGTGGAAACTAGTAAGTATTTACTTGCTCTGTCATATGGAAGGTATTACAAGCTAGACTAACAGGTTTAGTATGAAAGACATGTACTTTATACTGTATCATTTTTGTGGCTTCTTACCTATTTCCTTTTGGGGCTGGTTCACGTTGGGTCTCTAGGGTGGAACAACCATGTTGGAGCAGACTGAACTAAATTTCTGAGACTGCCTACTTAATGACAGCATCTACTTATGTTTACATGTCATAGGATGCCATCTGATCTGTATATTATCTGATCTGTACCCTCTATTTTATCATGCAGAGAAAGAAGGAAATACACATAAATGTGATCTGAGTGGTTGTGTTTGTTATGAAATTGTTGGTTTTATTTTTTGCATACATTTTTTGGTTATTTTGCCTTTGTTACTAGAGTAATCTGTAGACTTGTTTATTCACAGTGTAACAGTTGTTGCTGGTTATTGGCAGTGATCTTTACTAGTCAGTAGGCCAGAATGTGTACATATGGTCCTTTCATGTGGCTTTTTTCCCCTGTGTGGGTCTGGGTTAAAAGGTGATATCCTGAGAAAGAGAGCCTGGTGGAAGTCATATCTTTTATATGACTTAGTCTTGGAATTTAGGCAGCATAACTTCTGCCACATTCTTTACATTACAAGTGAGTTATTAAGACTAGCCTATATTCAAGGGGAAGGGAATTTAGACTCTTGCTTTTGATGTGAAGTGTGTTAAAGTCATATTTAGTACCTCTGCAGTTTAATTTGCAATTTAATCTTGGTAGAATTGGTATCTTTACTATATTTAATGGTCTCATCCTTGAACATAAATATATCCATTTGTTCAGATACCATATCATTTTTCTTGAATAAGCTCTTATGTCCCTTTAATATTTTTTCCGCCTAAAAACTTTGTTATGGAAAATTTCACACATATACAAAATTAAAAAAAGCTTAGTGTAATGAAACCTGTATGTACCTGTCATGCAGCTTCAAAAATTAATAGCTCAGGGTCAAATACCATCCCTCTGTTATTTTGAAGCAGATTCCACATGACATGCTTTATCTGTTAACATTGAAATTTCAATATATATCTCTAAAAGGTGAATGTTCTTTTTTTCTTAAATAAGCACAACACCATTTCACATTAAAAAACAACAACACACACACTAACATTTTAATATCAAATAATCAGTGTTCAGTGTTCAGAGTTTCCTGGATTTGTTAGAACTCCTGTCCCACCCCCCAACATTTTATGATGAAATATTTAAACATAGTACAATATTGAAATTTATGGAAGATCAATTATATACTGCCTAGGTTTTACCATTAACATTTTACAGTTTTTACACATACTTTATGGTGTCTAGCTATCCATTATTCACTTCATAGTGAGTTGTATTATAAAACTTGTCATAGTTAAGCAAATTAAGATGTGTTGGCAAATAAAATTTGTGATAGCTCATGAAGGATCTTTGTCTGACTTTCACTGATCATTCTCCTACAAATTTTGAAAGAGCCAGTGGGTTTTAAGCAGGAGCATTTTACTGTGGATCACAATAGGAGAGGGATGCCAAGAGTCTCGAGCCACAATTTAGACCTGAGAGTGGTGGGAGACCTGGCTTTTTGGGGTTGGTTACCAGGGCTGGGTATGGGGAGCAGCATCCATTGTTTTGAGTTAGGATACTCTGGGGTGTTTGCTGATGAGTTGCTTACTTCTAGATACCATGCATATCTCCTTAGTATCTTAAGTCTCCACCCAGAGATGTGCATGTTAGTATGCTAATTAGCCTTTAGTTATTTTTAGGTCATTATTCTTATATTGCTGCTTTGTGGCCATCAGGTTTTAGCCACTGAAAGCAAGAAACTTCTGCATAAAGAAGAAGGGGTCTGGCCTCCTGGTGGCATAGCAGGTTGAGCGCTGCTCTGTGAAACTGTCCGCAGCTTCTGCAGCGCGGTTTCGATTCCTGGCCAGCCAGGGAGATACCCACATGGGGCAGGTATACCCTCTCCTGTCTCGCCGGCTTTGTCCGTCTGCCTATTCTGCTCCCTGCTCTGTCTCTGGTGAATTCTCTCACCCTCCTGCACCTCTGGCCAGTACCCCAGCTCTTGTATAAATACATAAATCTTTTTTTTTTTTTTTAAAAAAAGAAGAGGTCTGTTTCTTATTGGAGATTGACTGAATTCATATTAGCCTGGGGGCTCAATAATAGGAAGGTTAGTTAGGCAAGCAAGGGGTCCTAAAACAAATTCATAAGTTTGGGGATCTCATCGACTTTATTGGGAAGCATCACATCTAGATACTGCAAGGGATTATGTAAAGCGAAAGATATTTATAGGCAGAAATAAGGTGGGGCAAGATATTTAGCAAGAGATTATTTCAGGTAAAGCCATCTTTTTTCAGGGGATGCACAGATTACTTCACTGGAGCTAATTAGGAAACTCCAGATTGGTTTAGTATTATCTTTAGGGAGAGATTGAAACTGCAGTGAGATTAGGCATTAAGTCTTGAGTGGATACTCAGTATGAAAGACTATTTTAGCCTCAATTTTCCTTTTATTAGCAGATGCACAAAGGATCCTATAACCTGAAAGTTGTTACCCCATTCCTTTATATAAGCTTTCTAAACATTTTTATTTTAAATATCTTTTCATCTCCCCTCTTTCCCCCCAAAAAACCTGGGTCAATGCAACAATTATAAAAAGTAAATAAAAACACAAAAGTCAGATATCTTCCCAACTGACACTTAGAGAAAACTAGGAATTGTACTTGGGGCTTCCAAATAGGTCCGATAGCATCTGCTAATGTCAAAGATGCCTATTAATACAGGATATACAGACACCCCATTCCGGAACTAATCTACAGGGACATTCCAACATTCACTCCTCTAACCCCAGAAAAATACCAAAATACACCCAAAGATCATTTGCTTTGTTTCTGTGAGAACATTCCCACCTTGGCCCCCATTAATTAATTTATTTTTTATTTTTTTAAAAGATTTATTTATTTATTTATACAAGCACTGGGTACAGTCAGAAACGTGGGAGGGTGAGAAGATTCACCAGAGCCAGAGCAGGGAGCAGAACAGGCAGCAGAACTGAAGTACACTGCTGAGGGGAGCAGTGGGCACAAGAGAGGTCTGCGTGCCATGTGGGATCCCGGCTGCCTGGGATCTAACTGGTGCTGCAGAGGCTGTGGGCAGCTTCGCAACCCAGCGCTCAACCCTGCGCTACCGGGGAGTCCCTCCCCTCCATTAATTTTAACCCTCCAATTGGTTTATTAAAGAAACTGGGCCATTTATTCTGTAGTTTTCCACAGTTTGACTTTTGCTGATTGCATTCCTGTTGTGTTTTTGGACAATGTGTTGCCTTTGTGTTCCCTGTAAAGTTGTAGTTAGGTCAAGAGGCTTACTGTTTTGATTTTTTCCTCCTTTAGACTATTATAATGTAGATTTAAGGATACTGAACTATTTCAAAATATATAACCTTGTTTTGTGATCTGTTATTCTTTATGATATGCTAGTTTCAGTTAACGGAATATTTTGCTTAGTACTTCATACCTATATTCATAAGTAAAAGAGACCTAATACTTTTGTTATATTGTCTTTATCTGATTTGGGAATTAAAATTATGCTAGTCCTTTTAAATTAGCAGCTTTTTCTAATTTTTTAATTCCTGAAGTCATCTGTATAAGGTTGGGATTATCCATTTTATGAAAGTTTGGTAAAACCATGGGGCTGGAGACCTTTTTTTGCAGATAGGTCTTACATTACTACTTTCATTCCCTTAGTGATAATTGACCTATTCAAGTTGTCTAAGTCTTCACTTATAATTTCTAATATTTTTGTCTTTTTAAAAAATTTTTTTCCTTATAGGTTTTCCAATTATAATTGTTCATAGTGTTATTCTTCATTTCAGTTATAACTGAGGGTTTCTTTTTCATCTATATTTTGTATATTTGTATCCTCTCTTTTTTTCTTTTATACCTTGATCTCTCTTGGTAAAACTTTGTTTTTCTTAAGTTTTGCTTTCAAAAATTTCCCAGCATACGTAGTAGAAGACAGTACAAGGAACGTTTAGTACCCATCACTTAGTTTCAGCAGCCATCATTATTTTGTATATTAAATAAAATCTAATCTAATCGTCCTCATTTTTAACAACCACTTCTACACAGAACCATAATCTTGCAAAATTAATAATTGTATATATTAGCAATTAGTATATAATCAAATTTTCTTAATTGTGTATAAATTCATAGTGCCTTTGTTCTAATTACGATCTCTTACTCTTTGGTATGTCTCCTTTAATCTAGAACAAGGGTGAGCAAACTTCTGCAAAATATCAGTAAATTTTACAGTTTTGTAGGCTACGTTAGGTCTCTTATTTTTATTTTTTATTTTATTTTTTTTTAGATTTATTTTTTATTTATTTATACATGCATTGGGTACAGTCAGAAGCGCGGGAGGGTGAGAGAACCCACCAGAGCCAGAACGGGGAGCAGAGCAGGCAGAAGGACCCAAGCACACTGCTGAGGGGAGCAGCGGGCGGCAGGAGAGGTCCGAGCGCCATGTGGGACCCTCCTCTGGTGGCCGGGGAGCAGCCGGGGATCGAACCGGTGCTGCAGAGGCTGCGGGCAGCTTCGCAACCCAGCACTCAACCGCTGCGCCACTGGGGAGGCCCTGGTCTCTTATTTTTAAAGAGCCCTTTAAAAATGTAAAAACTTTGGGGCCTCCCGGGTGACTCAGCGGGTTGAGCACAGCACTGTGAAGCTGTCCACAGCCTCTGCAGCACTGGTTCAATTCTCTGCTGGCCGGATGCCCACGTGGCATGGCAGACCTCTCCTGTCTTACCTGCTGCTCCCCTCAGCAGTGTCTTTGTCCATCTGCCTGTCTGCTCCCTGCTCTTCTCTGGTGAATTCTCTCATCCTCCCGCGCCTCTGACCTTTACCCCAGTTCTTGTATAAATAAATAAAAAAATCTTTGAAAAAAAATGTAAAAACTTATTTTAGCTTGAGGGCCACAGGTGGCATTTGTTCACAAGTCATAATTTTATGTCAACCCTGATGCAGAAAATTCCTCATCTCTTTTTTTCCCATGGGATGGATGTGGAACTTACTTCATGTGCTTCTCTTCTTTTAAGGGTAACAGTTCTGCATTGCCTGTTACACATTGCCTAGAAACATACATATATATATATATATATATATATATATTTAATTATTTTAAAAATTATTTTAATATAATTTTAAAAATTAATTAAATTAAATTAATATATTAATTATAATACATAATATTTTATAATATATTATATGTAATATATTTTAAATTAATTTTTAAAATTAATTAAATTAAAATTAAAATTTTTAATTTAATAATGTTTTATTTTTATTTACTTACTGGTTAAACCTATTAACATTTTCCATGCAAATAGAGACCTTGGCAATGCTGTTCCTTACTAGATCCTTGAGCCTACCACTCTGTAGCACAAAATGGACCCCTGGTAAAATTTTATTTTGATTTAATGAGAAATGATCAAATTTTGGTTGGGTAGAATGTCATTAGAAGGTGTTCTGTGAGAAGGTAGTGTAGACTAGTTACACCTGACAACATGTGTGCCAAATTGTGAAATATTGAGAATTTATATATGCTTATACTTATGTAATATACATTTGATGGCATACACTCCATGATTCTTATAGTTAACAAATACATACAGAAAGATGATTGGAGGGATTTTTTTCAGTCTAATATGGTAGGTGCTTAATAAATCCTTGTTTAGCAGGAAAAAGTGTGTTTTGGGGGGTCTAATGATTATTTTCACTATTTCTAAGGTATCTTCATGTTTTAATGATCTTCTGGTCATTTGTTGCTGGAGTTGTCACATTCTACTGCTCATTAGGACCTGATTCTCTCTTGCCAAATATATTCTTCACAATAAAACATAAACCGAAGGTAAAAATTTATGTGTTATTTTTAAAGGAGTTAGTATGTATGACCCTATGGTATTGGTTATTATTATTATTAAAAGCATGTTAAGACACTGATTTTTTTTTTTAAATCCATCTATTTTCTAATAGAAGACATCAGGAAATTTTCAAAGTGAAATTTACATTTATATGTGCTTATAAGTCCTAGGAGGGAATCTATAAAAAAGTACAAAATTCTTAGAAAGTTGGAATCCAGAATTTAAAAATGTCCTTTAACTATACATTAACTATCAGGACAATAATTTAAAACATATGTTCCCAAAGCTGGTTGTCCAACAGTATTACCTGGGGAATCTTAAAAAAAAAAAAAAAAAAAAAAAAATTTCCTGGATCCTTGCACCAGATTTTGATGGAATAATTCTGGATTAGAATTTTGTAATCAACACTTGTTAAAAAGCTTCTCAGGTAATTCTAGGGCAGGCTGCAATAAGGAAACTCTGGATTAAATTTCAGCTCTGTTAACTCTGTTAATGTCTTTTTTGCCACATAGAAGCAAACAGAAATTAGACAGTTTGCTTAACCAAAATAATTTGTATGAAAAATACCTGTCTTCTGAATTCAAAAGTTGATTGTCTTTAGTAGAGATGATAAGTAAAGACAAACCTCATCTTATTTTCTCCCCTCAATTTCCATTTTTTAGCAGTCGGGACTTCAAGAATTATTTCCCCAAGGTCGTAGCTGTGCTGTTTGTGGAAAAGTGAAATGTAAACGGCATAGGTAAGTGAAATGAACAGTTTTTACTTGTTGATCTTTCCAATTGCATTCTGGATTTCAAGTAATTTAGTTGTCTAATTTTTCTGTAGGCCTGCCTTGCTGCTTGAAAACTACCAACCATGGCTAGACCTGAAAATTTCTTCCAAGGTTGATGCATCGCTTTCAGAGGTAATTGATTTAATTAATATTGCCACATACATCCAAGCAGAAAATATTCAGTACCTATGGGGAAATTTAATCAGAGAACATTCTAACATAAGCCACCTAATCAATTTTTGCCCCCACAAGTTGGTTATTATAAAATATGCACTGTTTTACCTAGTCATTCCTTACCTCTTACAAAAGTAGTCATTGTTATGAGGCAATAGAACTAAGCATTTTGTATTTTCAGAAAAGGACCTCAGCAGTAAGGAGCAAATGTATATTTAGAGTTATGACTCCAGTTTTGACACTTAAGTGAGGGGTGGATTAGGAGATGGGATAATTTTCACTATTTCTCTGGACTGTAGAAATGGAAAGCATATTCTCTATCTTTGTCCCTTTTGGGTGACATTAATTTTAGTTATTTGTTTTAGAGACTTGTTTTCTCCATTTTTCTGAGAAAGCATACTGCTTCCTTGAAACAGTGAATGGGATCTCACTTGTTCCCAGCACCAAATGCAGGCCCAGATATATTGTTGGTAGATGATAGAATGTGTTTATTGAATTACGTTTAATGATGATTATTTGACGAATGGCATTAGGCATCTAAATTTTGAATAAGTGTTCCTTTTCCCAGGCTGTGTCCTTTGACCAAAAGTATGCAGCACAAAATACCATTCAGATGCTTGGTATTTTTCTTTTTCATTGCTTCTCTAAGGCTTTTTTTTTTTTTTAATATTTATTTATGTATACAAGAACTGGGGTATAGGCCAAAGGTATGGGAGGTGAGAGAATTCACCAGAGACAGAGTGGGGAGCAGAATAGGCTGATTGACTGAAATACATTGCTGAGGGGAGCAGCAAGCAAGACAGGAGAGGTCTGTTGCTCCATGTGGGTTAACTCCCTGGCTGGGGATTGAACTTGTGTTGCAGGGGCTTGATAGTGCTGAGACTTTAACCCCTGTGCCACCAGGGAGGCCCTCCAAAGCTTTTTTAATCCCTAAGATTTAAGACTTTGTTGCCCTTTATGGTAGCTACTTGCCATATGTAGATGTTAATAAACACTGAAAATGTATTAGTCTAAATTGAGATTGTTCTTTATATAAAATATATATTGAATGTTGAAGACTTAGTAGAAAAAAGAAATGTAAAATATGCTATTGTTTATTTTATATTGTTTACATGTTGAAATGATAATATTTTGGATATATTGGGTTAAATGAAATATGTAACAATTAATTTTACTCATTTCTTGTTATGTCTTAAAAAATATGGTTACTAGAAAATTTAAAGTTACACGTGTGGCTCACATTATCTTTGTATTGGAGAATGCTGATTTGAGGTCTGTTGAAGATAAGACCTTTAGCCAAGAGTATTTGTGTCTTCAACACTTTATTTTTTCAAAAAAATGAAAGAACTTCCATAAATCTCTTGCCTTGGTGCCTGGTACATATTGGTGTTCAGTAAATATTAACTCCAATATTAAAAACATTTTTTTTTTTTTTTTTTTTTTTTGTGAGACCCTCACCCAGCGGCCGGAGACTGAGCCTACGCTGTAGAGGCTGCGGGCAGCCTCGCAGCAGCCCAGCATTCAACTGCTGCGCCACCAGGGGAGGCCCTTATAAACATTTTTTAAAGTCTTGCTTTAGGCAGGAACTGGGATAGACACTAGGAATACAAAGAGAAAAAGATATCCCTTTCTTCTAGGAACTTCAGTTTAGGAGGGTAGGTTGATCTGTAAACAGTAATTATAATAAAATGTAATGCCGGCAGTAGTGGGAGAAATGTAAAAACTATAGAATTAGTTGAAAGGAGGAAAGTTGGGAAGGATGATTAGAAGTCTTCTAGATTAATAGTGTAGGCAAGGTTATTTCACAGTTTTGGAAGAATTTTTTGGCATGTTCAGTAGCAGGAGGCTAATTTGTGAAGGATGATGTGGGCAATGAAGAGAGAGTATTCTATTAGTTAATATTTGCATGATTTCATGTACTTGATACACAACCTATGAAGTAGGTGCTATTATTGGTGATTTTTCTTCAACTTTTATAGCAGGTTAGTAGCAGAATACTATCTTAATCCCAAGTCTAGCTTTGTTATTGAGCAGTTTTTATATGGCCCTTCAGAAATTATCAGATTATCAAAAGACTTTAAAGGGCCATGTTAAAAGATTTTAGTTGCTCATGAAAATCAGTGGTTGTCAACTATGTCCCTAGAATTTATAGATATGAGTTATAGGATGCAGTGGGAGGTGGTAAGACGGTAAATGGTCACAGCTGCTGGCATTTAGTTCTTTCCTGTCCCTTCAAAATCAGTGCAGCTCCACTTTTCTTACTTTGATATATTGAGAGTTTTATGCAAGGGAATTATGTGAAGAATGGAGGGGAACTACTTTGGAAGTAGGGAGACCATTTTAGAGACAATTGCTATATATGGGGTGGGAAAGTAAGGACCTAAACAGTGGGGCTGTAGAAAAGAGCTACTTAGCATATAAAATCAGTAGAATTTGGTAATTACAATTGGGAAACAAAGACCAAATATTTATGGTAAATTTCCAGTCTCATCTCTGTCTCATCTTTGCTTACATATATCTTATAATACTGATCTAATAGAAATGCTTGATCTTTGTAGTAAAGAATCCAAATTCTTGTTGCCTTAATACTTGGAATATCTATAACCTCGGTTACCATTCATCTGCCAGACAAAGTTTATATAGGCAGATTAGTGTTTCATTCCCTCTACTCCTTACTAATGCAAATCCTTTTAAAAAATTAAAACATACTGCAACACCCAGACCCAAGAAGTGGAAGGTTTAACAACCAACATTTTGTTACTTTTTCACACAAAACTTATATATCAATTTTAAATAGACAGCTAAAATTTTCAGAAAGTGAACGTATCCATATAACCAGCACCCAGATCAAGAAACAAAACGTTATCACCAACCCAGATACCTCTCTCATATTCCCTTTTGATCACTATTTTTCCTTCAAAAGCAATCACTAATACCTCATTTGACTTCTTATATAAGCCTCAGCTACTATTATATATCTTCATTTATTCTGGGAATATTGACTTAGGAATTAGGAATGAGCGTTAGGAATGCAAAAAGACTAACCTATTTTTTAATTTCTTTCCATACAAATTTTTTGGGTCAGTGAAGCAATTTAAGTTTTTTCTTTCTTTCATTATGGGAATATATAGAAATGTGTCATTTTTTTTTTTTAAAGATTTTTTTATTTATGTGTAGAAGAACTGGGGTGTAGAGCAGAGGTGCAGGGGGTGAGAGGATTCACCAGAGACAGAGTGGGGAGCAGAACAGGAGGATTTACTAAAATACACTGCTGAGGGGAGCAGCAGGTGAGACAGGAGAGGTCTGCTGAGCCATGTGGGTTAGCTCTCTGGCTGGGGTTCAAACTCAGGCTGTAGTGGTTAGAGTGCTGAGACTTAACCCCTGGGCCATTGGGTCGGGGGAGAGGGGCCCAAAATATGTATGTGTTATTTAGCACTTAATCTTACACAAAAGGCTGAGGAGTGGTGTGTGTTTCATTCTAATAGTTATTTTTCTTTTATATGAAGTTTATGATTTTCAAAATGTTTTCTCACATATTCTCTTTGATCATCAATCATGTAATGTTCACATATGCATTTTATCATATGAAAGTATGATATTAGATATCAATATTTGGGATAACAAAATTGGTTCTTGGTACTATTTATTTAGTAGTATAGTGTATTTTCCAAGAATTAATTAATTTGATTTTTCCTTAAAAATAATTTTTATGCAGGTTCTTGAATTAGTGTTGGAAAATTTTGTTTATCCATGGTACAGGTATGTTCTTTCTATAAGACTTTTTTTTCTTTAGTATAGTGAATGCCATCAAGTTTAGTGTGCTAATGATACATTTTCAGTGTAGGCTAGGGTTTTCATATTTTGCACTATAGACATTTTAGGCCAAGTAATTCTATTGTTTTGTGGGGGTAGAGTTATACTAGGTGCTGGTAGTACTCTCTCTTGCCCCTTAGTTCTGACCACCAAAAATACCTGAAGTGATTGTCAAGTGATACCTGGGAGGCATAACTGACCCCAGTTAAAGAATCATTGATACAGGCAATCAATTACCAGTTTAGTAATAGCAAAGAGGAAAATAAACCCTTTAATACCTTTGAAAGTAACTTGTAGTATTTCTCATCATTCCTAAAGGTAGTGATTTAATATTTTGTATGTATTTTATACACTTGAAATAATTGTACATTTAGAGGAGAAATTTATTTTCAGATATTTTATTAGATTGAAGTATAATTTCTATAGAGTTTTCCTGGAAAATTAGTAATTTTTTTGCCAAAATAATTTTGTTTTTGGTATTTGCAATGAATATTCAAATGATCTATATACCTTGCAGGATTTTTGAGAAAAATTGAGTTTGAGAATCAGGAATCCAAGTTAATCATTTAATAAATATATTTACTCACATAAGCATCATGTGTTTTGTATGTTTGAATACTTATACCTATATGACTTACAAATGTAATATTTAAACATCTAGCTTTATGCTGATTCAGTGTTTTGAGTTTTGTATAAGAAATGCTACTAATCGAGTTGATTTATAGTCTATTAAGGCAAATTTAATACCCAATTTTTATGTTATATTTTCCTGAAAAGCTATGTAAGTTAATTTTTTCTTTGGCATCTATCTTAAATATGTGTCAGTTGCCATTTAAGTAAAGCTGACGATGAGGATCTAAGTGAAATGAATCCTGTTGTAATCACTCTCTCCCATCCCCCCTACTTTGTGATTTTTTAGACATAAAATCTGACTGTATTTCTAAATGTTAAAATATGTATTTTTTCTCTCAGTATAGTTATTGATGTTATAATATACCCCCTTTCCTGGGGTTAATAGTGGGAACCAGGATTGATACAATTCTTTTTCTCATTCTATCAAGGGACTTAACCCTCTTCAAGTTCAGTGTATCACCATTTATACATAGACTTTGTTGCTTGCCTTTGATTAGAGCAGTGTCCTAATTCTTCTCGGGTCCTCAAGACTTCAGGAAAATGAAAAATAGCTCCTTAGAAGAAGGTTGTCAGAATTTCTATTTACAAATATTTGTGTTTCAGATTTTCTCTTCAAATAGAATGAAGTTTTTTAGCTTTAGAATTAATTTATATTGTTAATTATAAATATTTTAAACTAAAATATAGTAGTTCTGTAGCTTCTTCAGAATTTTTGTTTCTTAAAAATTTCTTGATGCTTAGAAATCATCTCAGTATTGTGAAAACATAAGTATGTACATGTCATTGTCTGCAGGGAAATATATACCACAATTTAGTATAATAGTGACTACGTCTTGGTACTAGAATTATGGGAGATGTTTATCTTCTGATGTATGCAATGAATGTATTATTTGTTTTTTTAAAAAAGAGGAAACAAATAGGAATGGAATAGTAAATGGTAAAAGAGGATTTTCTAAACTTTCCTTGATGTCTAAAAAGAAAGTTTTGTATTCTCTGAACTTCTAAATGCTTGCTTTTCTCCTCTATTGAAGGGATGTTACAGATGATGATTCCTTTGTTGATGAACTGAGAATTACATTACGTTTTTTTGCATCTGTTTTAATACGAAGGATCCACAAGGTACGTATCATTTAAAAAAATTTGAACTTTATCATCACTAAGAGATTTTTTTAAATCTTATTTTTACTTTATTCTATCCTGCATGTATTTGTTTTTATTTCACTTTTTTTTAGGCTAAGTAATGAATTGTTAACTTTTGATTAGTTTTACTTTCTTTTTTTTTTTTTTTTAAAGATTTATTTATTTATGCATACAAGAGCTGGGGTACAGACCAGAGATGTGGGGTGGGGGTGGTGGTGAGAGGATTCACTGGAGACAGAGTGGGGAGTAGAACAGGCAGACTGACCAAAATACACTGCTGAGGGGATATTCTTTAATACTTGTTATCTTGGTTTGTGGTGATTAGAAGTGAAAAAGATACTTATAGAAGAAAGTCATGTTTCATTTAGATGCATTTGCTGAGTAAAAGGTCATGCTTCTGAACTACATTGTTTTCCCAGGTGGATATTCCATCTATTATAACCAAGAAACTATTAAAAGCAGCAATGAAGCATATAGAAGTGATAGTTAAAGCCAATAAGAAAGGTAATACCGTTTTCTACTACAAAGTTTGAATAATTTTGTTTTTTATGCACCAACTTGTACCTTAGATATCTAAGAGTACTGCAAATTAGCTAATATAGTCACAAGTATTTTGAGTGTATACTTTTAAACTGAAATGTCTTTCAGTAGATTATTAACCATGTGTGTGATTTTGAAAACCCGAGAATCTATTAAAATTATAGAATTGAGGGCCTCCCCGGTGGCGCAGCGGTTGAGCGCTGGGTTGCGAAACTGCGCGCGGCCTCTGCGGCGCCGGTTCGATCCCCGGCTGCTCCCCGGCCACCGGAGGAGGATCCCACATAGCGTGCAGACCTCTCCTGCCGCCCGCTGCTCCCCTCAGCAGTGTACTTCGGTCCTTCTGCCTGCTCTGCTCCCCGCTCTGGCTCTGGTGAATTCTCTCACCCTCCCTCCCGCACTTCGGACTGTACCCAGTGCATGTATAAACAAAACAAACAAACAAACCAGCAAACAAATAAATAAAGCATGCCTCTATTAAAAAAAAAAAAAAAAAAAAAAAAAAATTATAGAATTGATAATTTCTTGCCTTCCTTACTTCCTCTGCAGTATCTCTCACATCTTTTCCCCTTTTCTCCTTATTGATTTCAATTAGTTTTAATGTATTCTAATCCGTAGATTGCTGTATATATTGCCACCACGTTAGTTTCTTAATACCACAATTCTCATGTTAACTTCCTACTAAAAAAAATTAGCACCTCCGCAGGGCCGGTTCTATCCCAGCCACCGGGTGAGGGTCCCACATGGCGTGCAGACTTCTCCTGCCGCCCGCTGCTCCCCTCAGCAGTGTATTTCGGTCCTTCTGACTGTTCTGCTCCCTGCTCTGGCTCTGGTGAATTCTCTCACCCTCCCACGCTTCTGACTGTACCCAGTGCTTGTATAAATAAATAAATAAATCTTTAAAAAAAAAAAAAAAAATAAAAACTATCTTTAAACTCTTCTCTATCTAGTTAAATATTTTTATCTACTCTGTCTTTTACTGTGTATTATGTTAGCTAGCTATGATAACTATGGTTTGTTTGCTGTTTCTCATCTGTGTCCTGACTTTCATTGCCATAGTTTGCATATAGCATATGTTCTGTAAATGTTTTCTAATTGATTGAATGAAATCTTCATTTGTGACTTTTCTTACTCTTGGTCAAGCTAAAATAGTCCGTTTAAACATTTCTTCTGTGTTCTATACTTGGTTCTTTGTGAAACAGATTTTCTTTCTTTTAATTTGCTGTTCTTGTTAGTCAATACTTTTCCAAGTAAGTTCTGTAGAGTATAACTATTCGAACAACCATGTAGAAGAAGTTTAATGTCACATATTCTGGTAACCATTGTATATTGTATTCCCCTACTGGAAATTTGCTAGTAAGGACTAACCAAAAACTCTTGAGTTTCGACACCAGTGAAATAGCTTAAACTTTAATACTCCCAAACTCTTTTGAACATAGAAGCATTTCCCTCTTTTGTATTATTGATTGATATAACCAGAGCATATTTTGTGTGCTCTAGGTAGAGTTGAAGATAAATTGAATAAAATTACTTGTTCATTTGACCCTTAGTCTGAAAAATTCCTCAGGTATGAGAAGCATTTCAAATTAAATATTGAAATTTTTTGGTATGTTTATCTTATGGGAATGAGTAGAAGTAGTTGTATTTTCAATACATAGATAAAAAGTGAGAGTTTGAATACTTGTAGTGTGTTAAATAAAATAATTTTTAAAATCATTGTCCTTTGAGGAAAACATGCTAGAGACAGTATCTCTATTGTTGCCATTTTGTTAAGGCTACTTTACTGTGAGAAAAATATAGAGGAAAAATGTTGTTTACTAGATTTTATTTTTTAGAGCATTTTTAAGTTATAGAAAAATTGAGCAAAAAGTAGAGTTCCTACACATCCCTCCCTTTTCTCTATTATTAACATTTTGCATTAATTGATATATTTACAATTGATTTACCGATATTGATACATTATTTTTAGCAAGTCTATGGTTTACATTAGGTAGGGTTTACTTTATTGTATATTCTATGGCTTTTGACAAATGCATGATGCCATGTGTCCACATTATAATATCCTACTGAATAGTTTCATTGCCCTGAAAATTCCCTGTATTTCACCTATGTACCTTTCCCTCCTTCATGAACCATGGTTACCATTGATCATTTTATTATCTCTATAGTTCTGCTTTTTCTAGATGTCATATAGTTATATTATAACCTTTTCAGACAAGCTTTTTTCACTTAGAAATATCATTAAGGCACCTCCTTGTATTTTTGTGATTTGATAGTTTGTTTCTTTTTATTGTTCACACATCGTCCATTGTATAGATGTGTCACTTTATCTGTTAACCTATTGAAGGATATCTTGGTTGTTTCCTGGGTTTGGCAGTTATAAGTAAAGCTCCTATAAACATTGTATGCAGGCAGGTTTTTGTATGGGAAAAGTATTTTTATAAATTTTTTTTAAAAGATTTATTTATCTATACAAGCACTGGGGTAAAGGCCAGAGGCGCGGGAGGGTGAGAGAATTCACCAGACAGAGCAGGGAGCAGAACAGGCAGAAGGATCTAAGTACACTGCTGAAGGGAGCAGCGGGTGAGACAGGAGAGGTCTGCTGAGCCATGTGGGTCAGCTCCCTGGCTGACAGTGAATCGAACCGGCGCTGCAGAGGCTGCGGGACAGCTTCACAGCGCTGTGCTCCACCTGCTGCAACACTGGGGAGGCCCAGATTCTTTGTTTTAAAAACACTTTTAACTCTGACTATAAGTAAATAGAATCATGTTTTTATTTTTAGTTGAATTGATTGTTTTTTTTTTTTGTTTTGTTTTTTAAATAATAAATTTTATTTTTATATTCCCCATACAATTGCAGCCCCCCCATTCTGACCCCAATCCCTCCCCTCCCGCCCCCGCCCCCTAAAAGTGTCTCTGGTTCATAGTTTTTTGTTGATTTTGATTTTCACTTTCTTATAGTTATTCATTTTCCTGGTCCCTTATTTAAGTTTTCTAGATTCCTGCTATGAGTGAGACCATCCGGTATTTTTCTTTTTCTTTTTGGCTTATTTCGCTGAGCATGATCCCTTCCAGCGCCATCCATGTTGCTGCAAATTGCATGTGTTTATCTTTTTTGAATGCTGAGTAATATTCCATGGTATATATGTACCACATCTTCTTGATCCAGTCATCTATTTTTGGGCATTTGGGTTGTTTCCAAAGCTTAGCTATTGTAAACAGTGCTGCTATAAACATAGGGGTGCAGGTGTTCTTTGGAATTGATGTTTCTGTGTCCTTTGGGTAAATACCTAGGAGTGGAATTGCTGGATCATATGGAAGCTCTATGTTTAGTAGGTCCAGAAATCTCCACACAGCTCTCCACAGTGGTTGGACCAGTTTGCACTCCCACCAACGATGCAGAAGAGTTCCTTTTTCTCCACACCCTCGCCAACATTTGTTGTTGCTAGTTTTTTTAATATGTGCCATTCTCACTGGTGTAAGATGGTATCTCATGGTAGTTTTGATTTGCATTTCCCTGATTACAAGTGATGTTGAACATTTTTTCATATGCCTGTTGGCCATTTGCATTTCCTCTTCAGAGAAGTTTCTTTTTAGCTCTTCTGCCCATTTTTTTAAAGTATTTTTTTTTTAATTTAATTTTTTTTTTATAGAGGCATGTTTTATTTATTTATTTGTTTGTTTGTTTGTTTATACATGCACTGAGTACAGTCAGAAGCACGGGAGGGTGAGAGAATTCACCAGAGCCAGAGCAGGGAGCAGAGCAGGCAGAAGGACCGAAGTACACTGCTGAGGGGAGCAGCGGGCGGCAGGAGAGGTCTGCGCGCCATGTGGGACCCTCCTCCAGTGGCCGGGGAGAAGCCAGGAACGAACCGGCGCCACAGAGGCAGCTGGCAGCTTCGCAACCTAGCGCTCAACCGCTGCGCCACCGGGGAGGCCCCTCTTCTGCCCATTTTTTGACTGGATTATTTTCTTTGTTGTTGTTGAGTCTCATCAGCTCTTTGCAGATTTTTGTGATCAGTCCTTGAATTGATTGTTTTAATAAAATCCCCAAATTACTTTGTCCCTATTTGAGTGATGTTATACATAACCAGAATTTATTGTTGAAGCTTTGCAAGAGAAAGGTTGCTGATTTGTTATTAATGGAAAAAAGTGGTCTTCAATCATAAAATTACCACAAATTATTAGTTAGGGTTCATTAATAACATTATGAATAATGAAATCTATGGATTTAAAAGGTCAGAGAACTAAGAGAACTCTTATCCATTGGTCATTGTGTTCTAAATAGTATTAGATAGGCTTGTAAAAAAGATTCTCAGATTTTTGCTTTTTAGTTCTTTTTTTAAAAAATAACAGTTTTATGGGGTTTTTTTGCACAGAAGAACTGGGGTGAGGGCAGAGGTGTGGGGGAGGTTGAAAGGAAGGGGGTGAGAGAATTCACTAGAGACAGAGTGGGGAGAGAACGGGCAAGATTTACTGAACTGCTCTGTTAAGAGAAGCAGTGGGTGAGATAGGAGAGATCTGCTGTGTCATTTGTGGGTTAGCTGCCTGGCCCGGAATCAAACTCAGGCTATAAAAGTGATAGTGCTGAGACTTAACCCTAGGCTACCAAGGAAGCCCTGATTTTCATTTCTTTTATAAAATTTGTTTTCTAAATTCTTTGGTCCCCACAGTTGTACATAACTCAGGAAATAATTACATCATTATCTTTTCATCCATATTTATCCTTACTTTCTTAGTGTTCTCTGTTGATTCTGCCTGTTTAGAATAGGGATTAGATGAACGTTTTCTGTCTATGGCCTTTAAAAATGTTGAATATATATAGTTTAGAAATACTGGTTTAATTTAAATTCAACAATAATGTATAGACTCCATTCTTTCATCCTAAAGGTATCTTTTGGTCATGGATTGTGGAGACTTTTTCTTTTGTGGCCTGAAAACTAGTGACTGAGTAGGGAATCAATATACTAGTGATTAGTGGGAAATAATCCAAACCCTGTTTTCCAGCATTTGTTTTTTGTTGTATTTCCAATCAATGTTCTTTTCCTCCTATATTCTTTTTTTTTTCTTTTTCTTTTTTTTTAAATAATAAATTTTATTTTTATATTCCCCCATACAATTGAAAACCCCCCATTCTGACCCCAATCCCTCCCCTCCCAGCCCCCACCCTCCAAAAGTGTCTCTGGTTCATAGTTTTTTGTTGATTTTGATTTTCACTTTCTTATAGTTATTCATTTTCCTGGTCCCTTATTTAAGTTTTCTAGATTCCTGCTATGAGTGAGACCATCCGGTATTTTTCTTTTTCTTTTTGGCTTATTTCGCTGAGCATGATCCCTTCCAGCGCCATCCATGTTGCTGCAAATTGCATGTGTTTATCTTTTTTGAATGCTGAGTAATATTCCATGGTATATATGTACCACATCTTGATCCAGTCATCTATTTTTGGGCATTTGGGCTGTTTCCAAAGCTTAGCTATTGTAAATAGTGCTGCTATAAACATAGGGGTGCAGGTGTTCTTTGGAATTGATGTTTCTGTGTCCTTTGGGTAAATATCTAGGAGTGGAATTGCTGGATCATATGGAAGGTCTATGTTTAGTAGGTCCAGAAATCTCCACACAGCTCTCCATAGTGGTTGGACCAGTTTGCACTCCCACCAACAGTGTAGAAGAGTTCCTTTTTCTCCACAACCTCGCCACCTCCTATATTCTTCTTATCTTTCTCCAGATTCCTTTATTTTTTCATTACCCAGGACTACAAAAATCTCTCAATCTGACAGATGTCCAATTTAATGATTTAATTTATATATTATGTGTGAATACTTAAACAACAAATATAATAATAATACATTTTGGATGATAATTTTTCAGTGTTCAGACTATTTACTGATATGGAAATTGAGACTGAAATGGATTAGATCATTTGTTCATGATAGTATCAGTTAGTAAAGTAGACCTAGGATTTAGCATAATTTAATCTTATTTCAAATCTCTGCTCGTGATATAAATTTAAAAAGAACTGTGCCCCAAGTGCAGCAGATCTCTCTTGTCTTGCTCCTCTCCTGTATATTTCAATAAATCCATCCGTTCTGTTCTCTACTCTCTCTCTGGTGAATTCTCTAACCCTTGCATCTCTAGCTTACACCCAATTCTCCCCCACGACAAATTATACCTCAATAAAAAAAAGAAAAACAAAAGAACTATGCCTCAAATACTTGGGAATTGGCACGTAATTTCAAAATTATAAAATAAAGTTATTTCTCAGAAAAACTATGTCTTTGCCAGTCCTGCTTTTGTATCTCAGGTACAGATAGCCTTCTTTTACCTTATTGTACTCATATCATTAGAATTCATGTATTGGTTTTTTATTTAATTCTCTTTTAATAAAACTAGATTTTTAAATTTTTAATTAAAATAGAATATTTTAATGAAAATAGAATAGTCAGAATTAAATATCAATGAATTAGGATTATTAGGGCTAAACTTTCCTGTGATTTTAAAACTTGGCATAGAATGCAGAAAGATAGAAGTGTCTATTTTTTACCTAGTCTCTTGAGTGGCAGTACTATGATTTTGAAGTTTTAAAATATTATTATTATTATTATTATTATTATTTATTTATTTATTTTTAAAGATTTGCTCTTATTTATTTATACAAGCACTGGGCACAGTCAGAAGCCCGGGAGGGTGAGAGAATTCACCAGAGCCAGAGTGGGGAGCAGATCAGGCAGAAGGACCGAAGTACACTGCTGAGGGGAGCAGCGGGCTGCAGGAGAGGTCTCTGCGCCACGTGGGGATCCTCCTCCGGTGGCCGGGGAGCAGCTGGGGATAGAACCAGCGCTGCAGAGGCTGCGGGCAGCTTCACAACCCAGCGCTCAACCGCTGCGCCACTGGGGAGGCCCTTAAAATACTATTTTAATGCTTTACCTTTTAAGAAAAATTTCTGTTAATGTAACATGATCAACTGTTTATTAAGTAATCTGTGTATCCATGTACTTCTGCCTTATATAGTTCTGTATCTCTTCAGTCCTATGTTCTAGGTGGAATACACAGAACTTAACCAAGGAAGCCAGTTTCTATACCATATTTGCTTTGAAAGGTTACCTGAATGATTTTTATGTAAAAACAGAGAAAATAAGGAGTATTAAGAAGGGATTTTTGTATTTGATGATGAATAAGATATAACGTGATATTTGTGTTACAGAAAGATGTTTTCTACTGTTCCCCCCAATTTTTTAGAAAACACTCATCTTGTTAATATAATTTGTAATGACATGAGTTTAAATTCTTATTTGTTGGAGGGGAGGAATCCTTTTATCAAATTATTGCAAAATATAAAAAAGCTTTGTGCAAAAAGGAAATTACTCTCTGTATTCTATTTGTGAAGAATTTCCCTCTACAATATATATTAGAAAGAGAAGTCTAGAAAAGGAATGACTAGATTAAATGATTTTCTATTTGTTAGTAGAAATGGTTGAAGTTACTTATTGTTGTTTAACTTCTTTCATTTTTTAAAAATTTGTATTTACAGTAGAAAATACAGAGTTTTTACAGCAAGCCGCTTTAGAAGAATATGGTCCAGAGCTTCATGTGGCTTTGAGGAGTCGAAGAGATGAATTGCACTATTTAAGGAAACTTACTGAACTACTTTTTCCTTATATTTTGCCTCCTAAAGCAACAGACTGCAGGTATAAATAGACTGGAAAATGTCATGGCAGTATTTGCATGTTATGCCATATGTATATTGCTATTCTTGATCGTAATAAGAGTACACTAAACTTTGAGGTAAGCCTATGATATGAATAATTTTTCACTTAAGATATGTAATTTGTGAGGTCCTAAAATGCTATTTTAGGTGTACTGATTTATTTTTTTTTGTTAGGTGTTTTGTTTAGAATTTTTTCTTAGAATTGATCTTAGGAAATCACAGATAAATATGAATAAAAATAATTTTCTTATTTGAGATCATTATACTTGTTACTTGCTTACTGTTTGTCTTTCTTTTTTTTAAGATTTATTTATTTATATAAGAACTGGGGTACAGGCCAGAGGCGCAGGAGAGGATTCACCAGAGAGAGAGTGGGGAAAAGAACAGGCAGACTGACAGAAAAAACTGCTGAGGAGAGCAGCGGGCAAGACAGGAGAGGTCTGCTGCACCATGTGGGTATCTCCCCTGCTGGCCAGGAATTGAACCGGCACTGCAAAAGCTGCGTACAGCTTCACAGCGCTGTGCTCAACCCGCTGCGCCACTAGGGAGACCCGCTTACTGTCTCTTTTGAGAATTATATGTTATTACTCATCGGCAGAAACACTTTGAACCAACTATAAGACAAGTTTGACTTTTAAACTGTCTGACTGGGAAGAATAATTTAGTCCTTCTACTCTTTCCTACCTGCGCTGGCAGTAGCATGCTTAGCTTATTCCATAAGGTCACCTCATTACTCTTACCCTAGTACTTCTCAGCAGAGAAACCGTTGCTTGTTTTTAGTGATATACTTTGAATATTGCCTTGACATTTTAATTTTTATAACTGTTAGTATTTTATTTTATGTATTTAATTATATTTACTAAAATAATTATACTATTAAACATTTTAGTTTTAAACATTAATTTAAAAGTATGTTGAATATTTTAAATACTGCAAGGCAGGAAGTATGTTCTAGTGTTTTCCCTAAGTCTCTCTTGCAAAAGAAATGTGTTTTTTTCTGTTAAGTAATGTTCTTTTGTAGTCAATTGTGGACTCCATGTGTGGTCTGTGAACGAGAAACATAAGCATCACTAGGGAGTTTGTTAGAAGTAGAGAATCTCAGGGTATGCCCTAGACCTACTGAATTATGGTCTGCATTTTAACAAGATCCCTAGTTAAGAACGGATGTAAATCACTAAACATTCACAGTTATTGTTTCTTTTTCAGATCCCTGACCTTACTTTTAAGAGAAATCCTTTCTGGATCGGTGTTCCTTCCTTCTTTGGATTTCCTGGCTGATCCAGTAAGATTAAACAAACTTCTTTTTATTTAATTGTGGTAAAATACATGCCAAATTTACCCTTTTAAAAATAAAATTTGCCCTCTTAAAAATTTTTACATGTACAGTTCAGTAGTAGTAAGTACATTCATATTATTATGCGATAGTTACCACTACCCATCTCCAGAACTTTCATCTTACAAAACTGAAACTGTGTACCTATAAAACAATAATTCTCCATTCCTCCTTCCTCATAATCCTTGGCAACCACCAGGGTTTGGTGTTTTCAAGGTTCATCAGTGTTGCAGCATATGTCAATATTTCCTTCATTAAGACTGAATAATATTCCACTGTAGTTGTATACTACATGTTTCTTACACATCAATACATTGATGAATACTTGAGTAGCTTTTACTTTGGAGCTAGTAAAATTTTGAAGAAAGGGATTAATTCATAAACATTTTGTGTACCAAAGTCATATTAACTTTTATTTTCTCATTTTTACTAAAGATAAGACCCTTCATTGTGGATTTTTTAAAAGTCCCTCTGTATTACATACATGCAGATGCTTTACTGTTGCATTTTTCCAGAAACTTTTGTGATATGATAAAAAGCTTTGAGAATTCTAATAGAATACAGTTATGGAGTTATTTTGATCATTGTTTGTTATTTTCCATTAGGATACTGTGAATCATTTACTTCTCATCTTCATGGATAAAAGTCCAGTTGAGTATTGAACATACTAGAAAACACTTCAGATTGCATTGAATTTTGATTCATATCTGTCAAATAAAATTACAATTTTATTAAATTAATTCTCTTTCTTCAAAGCCTGAAAAAGCAACTGAACCACCTTCCCCTTTGGTTCCATTCTTGCAGAAATTTGCAGAACCCAGAAATAAAAAGCCATCTGTAAGTATTCCAGCAACAGCTTATATTACTTTTTTTTTTTAAGATTTATTTATTTATGCATACAAGAGCTGAGGTACAGGCCAGAGATGCGGAGGGGGGTGAGAGGATTCACCAGAGATAGAGCGGGAAACAGGCAGATCTACTGAAATACACTGCTGAAGGGAGCAGCGGGTGAGATAGGAGAGGTCTGCTTCGCCATGTGGGTTGCTCCCTGACTGGTCGGGGATTGAACTCGTGCTGCAGAGGCTGCAGATTGCTTCATAGTGCAGTGCTTAATCCCTTGCGCCACCAGGGAGGCCTGGCTTATATTACTTTTGATATAAATGATATTGTGACATATTTTTAGAGTCTTAACTTACTCTTCTCCTATATTATAATCAGGTGCTGAAGTTAGAATTGAAGCAAATCAGGGAGCAACAAGATCTCTTATTTCGTTTTATGAACTTTTTGAAACAAGAAGGAGCGGTGCATGTGTTGCAAATTTGTCTGACTGTGGGTGAGACTTACCTGTGTACTTTACCAGAATCATTTAAAAATGTTTAATGTATTTGAATAGTTAGATCAGATGCAATGTTGTAGTTGTCATCTATCCATGTTCTGAAAGCACCTATAAATTTCCTCTCAAGTGTCCACTCCTTTTCATATTGGGACATAATCTATAACTGACTTCAGTAAAATCCTATTAGCAGAAAAGAAGCACTAAAAGTTCTTTATGATGGAAATGTATTAAAGACCCAGTTGTTAGCCCATATTAATAGTACTCTATCATAGTTTTTGCGAATGATTATTTTTATTAAATCCACTGTAAAAATATTTTAGTTTGACTGTAAAAGCTCTATAACAACTTGCACAATTGGATTTTATGAGAAACTTTGTGGACAAGCTGTGAAAAGATTCATTTTTTTAAATGCAAATAATGTCTTTTTAAATACCACTTTTTAAAAATTGAGATATAAGTTATATGGTGAAACTTACAAAACTTAAATGTACAGTTTGATAAATTTTGACAAATGTGTACATTTCTTTCATCTCAGAAAGTTCCTCTAGGGTTCTTTCCAAATGATCATCCCTGCTTCCACTCATGCCAAAGTAATCACCGATCTTACTTCTCTAACCACAGATTAGTTTTGCTGTATGTTTTCCTTATGTAAATAGAATCACATAGTATGTATTCATTTGTGCCTTCCTTCATTCATTCAGTATAATGCTTTTTTGTGAATTGATCCCTGTTATTGTATGGATCAGTAGTTTGCTCTTTGCTTAGTAGTAGTCTTTGGCACGAATATGTTAAAATTATCTCTTCTTGTGAATGGATAGCCGCAGTGCTTCCATTTTTGAGCTATTATAAATAAAGCTTCTGTGAACATTTTTGTACAGGGCTCTTTTTTGGGCATATAAATAATAACTGGAAGTAGAATTGCCCAGTCATAATGTGTGTGTGTGTGTGTGTATATTTAGTTTTATAAGAAACTGCCAAATTGTTTTCCCAAGTAGTTGTGCTGTTTTACTCCTAATTATGTGTGCGGGTTCTAGTTGCTCCACATCTTAACCAGAACTCTTGGCAGTGTTTATCTTTTTATTTATTTTAAGATTTATTTTTATCTATGCATACAAGAACTGGGGTATAAGCCAGAGGTGTGGGTGGGGGTGGTGGTGAAAGGATTCACCAGAGATAGAGCAGGGAGCAGAACAGGCACATCTACTGAAATACACTGTTGAGGGGAGCAGCGGGCGAGACAGGAGAGTTCTGCTGTGCCATGTGGGTAGCTCCCTGGCCAGGGATTAAACTCATGCTGCAGTGGCAGGCAATAGCTTGATAGTGCTGAGACTTAACCCCTGTGCCCCCTGGGAGGTCCCCCTGTTTATCTTTTTAACTTAAGCAATTTTAGTGATATCTGGTTTTTTAATTTACTTTTCTCTGATGATGAATGGTATTGAATACTTTTTCAAATATGTAAGTATTTTATTCCATTTTATCTTCTCTGTTTACTTTATGTTTCTCTTTTTCTTCTTTTTAAAAGTGGTTGGTCAGAAATCGCTTATACTGTGCACCTTTTACTTATAATAGTGTTCAGTTAAAAATATTTTAACTGATTGCTCCTGCTTTAAGAACAATCTAAGTATACTTCAAATTATCCCCTATTGCCTCTTGTGCTTTTTATCATATGTTTTAACTCTGTGTAGGCTATAAACCCCACAGTACATTGTTATTTCTTCTTTAAATGGAACACATACTTTGTGTGCCAGTTTTAGTTATTGGCATATTTACATTTCTATACCTCTTTATTCCTTTCTGCAGAACCCTTCTATTGAAAGAAATCCTGTCCACATTTCTTATCTTCTGGATATGTTTTCTTGGCTTTTGTCTGCCTGGAAAAGATGTTTATTTTGTCTTCATTTTTTAAGGATATTTTTTACTGCATATAGAATTTTCCCTACCTAGAATTTTAGGTCGACAGTTTCTTCTTTCAGCTATTTGAAGGCATTTTTCTGCTATCCTTTGGACAATGCCATTGTTTCTCATGAGAAATTAGCTTCCATTCATATTTGTTCTCCTGTGTATATAATACATCACTTTTATTCCTAGCTGGTTTTACAATTTTATCTCTTTGTCTATTAGCAGTTTGACTGTAATATACACTTTTATTTGATTTGGAATTTTCTAAGATTCTCTGATACATAGGTTGGTGTCTTTTATCATTTTTGAAAATTCTTGGGTGTTCTCTCTTCAAATATTCTGCCTCCTTTTCTCTGTCATTTCCTTTTGAGACTCCAGTTGTATAAATTTGCTGTCATCTTACAGATCTTATATATTCTGTTTCTTTTTTTTTTATTCCTTTTCTCTCTGTGCTTCAGTTTGGATAATTAATAATTCAGGGGTAAACTCCATACTAACCCTCTTGTAATAAAAACAGGGCATGCAATATTTTCATTATCCTGTATTACCATTTGTCATTTTAGAAAAAAAGATTTGTTTATTCAGAATCTCAGTTTCATCTATCACTAGTCTGTATTCTCCATGATGGAAGGAAATATTGTTTAAAAACATTAGCTGGAACTAAAGAATGTCTTAGTTCTCATTGCTACTTAGAATCAGATTTCAAAATCAAAGATCCTTGGTATAAATTAATTTAATATGTTCTTTAAAGAAAATTTTAAAAATGTGTCTACTGTTTCAAATTTTAGAATATTTGTATTGCTATGCAAATATTTATATACTTTTTATTGGTATATAAAGCATGTGGTTGTTTCTCTTTGATTTGAAGTTATTTTACTTCCAATTAAATCTTTTAAGAATGCTTACAATGAGATTTTTTTTTATAATTGCTGCTTTTAATTTTGATTATAATTAGACTGAGCACAGGAAGTTCTCATGAATAGTTTTATATTAAAATAATTCATTTTCTCTTACTCTTTCATGACTTGCCAGAGGAATTCAATGATAGAATTTTGCGACCAGAATTATCAAATGATGAAATGTTGTCTCTTCATGAGGAGTTGCAGAAGATATATAAAACTTATTGTTTGGATGAAAGTATTGACAAAATTCGATTTGATCCCTTCATTGTAGAAGAGATTAAGAAAAGTAAGTCAAATATGAGAATGAATGCTATAGATCTTTCAAAATTTTCAGTTGTATCTCTTATTTGTTATTGCAGTAGCTGTTTGAGCTACATAGGCAGCCGTTATTCTGTTTTACTAAGTAGATGAAAGTTTTGAGGAAGACATGTATTCATAATTCATATAACTAATACTTGCCTGGTTGAAACTTGGTTGTTATTATTTATCCTTATGCGTTTTCTGTACCTTACAGTGGAGTTTCTATAAAACATAATTTTAGGATTAATTGTAGGACTTTGGATTGCTCTTTCATTGTCATGAATTTTAAACCATATATAATGTATTTATGCTTTTCATAAATTTCTAAAATGTAATTTTTTGAAATAGTTGCTGAAGGACCTTATATAGATGTTGTGAAACTTCAAACTATGAGATGTCTTTTTGAAGCATATGAGCATGTACTTTCTCTCTTGGAGAATGTATTTACCCCTATGTTCTGCCACAGTGATGAGGTATGTCAAAATATTAATTTTGTTTGTAGATTTTGCTTTAAAATTTAATAGTGATTTTGTTGTTGTTTGATGAATGATTCAATAATTAACAGAAAGATAGAACATGAATTAAGAAAGTGAATACTTGTTTTTGCTATATAATTTAAGATTAGAAGTTAATTTTAAAACAATTCTCAATACCAAAACAACATTAGTGTATATGTGAAAACAACATTAGTGTATATGTGACTAGTTATATCGTGACCAAATTGGTTATCCTACTTGCCATATGCTTGAGTGGCTTTATAGTACTGATACAGAAACTCCATACTTCTGTATATTCCTCGTTTACAGAGCAGTGGAAATAAATCTCCTCAGCATCTCCATTTGCAATATTTTAACCCTTACTTTACTTGACTATGGTTTTATTCACTGGATTTAAATAATATTTTCTTTAAGCTGAAAAGAACTAAGGTAGAGTAATACATTTCACTATCAAATTTTAGTTTAATAAATCATAATTATTTTTGAAGTATTTCAGACAACTTTTAAGAGGTGCAGAATCACCAACACGCAATTCAAAATTCAACAGGTAGGTGTATTCAATCATGTGTATGTTTTATTTTTGTATTTTGTAGTTATCATTCTGTGCTGGCATCATTGTCTAATTATTTGTGATTTTTCTCTGAGTATGTGGTTCATTGCTACATTAATAAACAAGATATTCTTATTAATTGTAGACATGTACTACATATAACCCAAAAACGTCTGATGTTCATATAGAAAAGATATATACATATAGAAAAAGATATATACCATTGTCTTATTAATCTCATAATTAATGCATATTAGACCTTGATCACCTCTTTATTGGAGACTATAGGCTGCATGCATAAATGATATCCCCAAATAACTCAGTTTTAGACAGTAGTTTTTTTGTTTTTGTTTTTGTTTTTTAACCCCCAGAGAGTACTCATTCTAGTGTTTAATGGTTACAAAAGTAGAGAACTTTTCTCCCTTTTCTTTCTGACTCTGGAAATATCGGTGTGCAGTTAAATGACCTAAAGAAAGTTAACAGAAGTAGGATATTGAGCTTAAAGCTCCTCTTGGATAGGACCCTTTCAAAGGAAGCAGTCTGCTGAGTGGCTAAATGTAAGGCAGGATCATAATTTCTTTGCCATTTTGCGAACAACTTGTTTTCAACACATTAATATGTGGATTCTTCTTTTTCTGGGTAATAATTATTGTCTTTTTAAAGTATGTTTTTCTGTATTTTGACCTGACTTTAATAGTAACTGTCAGTCTTGTCAGCACTTTGCTTCTGTGATACTTCATGACCATTTAACTATATAGGATAAGTAAAGATTTCTTAACATCCTTTCACTGAAAATTTGGAGTGGCTTTGCTGATTTGCAGCTAAATAACTTAAAAAATATAAAATTTCATAGATTTTATCTACATTGTAAAAGTATTAAAATGTATTAAAATTTTATCTACATTTTAAAAGTAGAATTTTAATGCATATTAATGTTCTGTTTCATTGCATACTGAAAGCATAACTTAAAAAATACTTTGGCATCTTTTAGCTTAAATCATACTTTATTTTTTCTTTGTTTAGAGAAGAAGTTTATTCAGGAGAAAAGGGACAGAAATCTAAATCATACTTTAAAAAATATCGTAGCTTAAATCATACTTTTAAAACATACTGAAAGTAGGGGCCTCCCTGGTGGCACAAGGGGTTAAGTACCGCACTATGAAGCAATCCACAGCCTCTGCAGCATGAGTTCGATCCCTGGCCAGCCAGAGAGAAACCCACATGGCGAAGCAGACCTATCCTGTTTTTGCCTGCTACTCCCCTCAGCAGTGTATTTCAGTCAGTCTGCCTGTTCTGTTCCCCACTCTGTCTCTAGTGAATCCTCTCACCCCCTGCATCTCTGGCCTATACCCAGTTCTTGTATGCATAAATAAATAAATCTGTAAAAAAATATTTGAAATAAAAATGTGTGAAACATGTATGTTGGAAATGTTGAAAAATACAAGTTTGTTTTTTGTGTTTTGGTGACCTAACTTCTACAGACTTTTCACTATATCAAACAAATTATATACCTAAATGAGGACAAAAAATGCAGTTATTTCCCAACATACTGATTTTTTCAGAACTTTAAAAAATGAACTAGAATTTGTTTCTCCCAAACCAGTTAGCCATTGTGCTTTCTCTTACCTTCATCTTGTTAGTCATAAAAATTTCTTCCCTTTGCAAAGATAAATACTATCTATTTGTGTAACTTTTCAATTTTTGGAATTTTGTTTTGTGTTCTAAAGTGTTTAATTCTGGGCTTTCTCTCCCTCCCTTTTTAATATAATTTCATACATCTGTTATTGCAGAGGTAGCCTAAGTTTGGATGATTTTCGGTAAGTCTTGAGAGAGCATGTGCTTCTTTTCAGCATTCATTATCTGTTTAAGTCTACAAAGTACACCCAATACAAACTAAATACAACTAAAAGGAAAAAAATGAAGCACTCTGCTTTTATTGCTTTTATATCAGCCATTAGGAATATTAAAAAAAATTAACCTCCACTTTGATTTTAGATATTTCCTTTTTGAAATGGCATCACAAAATTAAAATGTCAGTATAAAATTAAAATGATAATGTCAATGTCTGATTTTTCATGGTTATTGACTCTTGTTATGACTTTGCTAAATTACTTTTAAAATTGTGTTTAAAGACCTATTTTTTTAAGTAAAGAAGTATGATATTCTGTATCTCTGGATGTAATTACTAGATATTTTTAAAATGTCATTTTTAAAAGCTCAATTGTTTTGTAATCCCTATAAATTCTCAAGACTAAACTAACCTATCTAGAGTCTAAGACTTTAACAATATTTTGTCAACATTTTCATATTGATTTTAGAAACATTTCTTCTATCAGAGTTGTGTTTACAATTCTGGATTTTTAAGAAGCACTAATTGCATGCTTATTTAAATAAAATAATAATTTAGTTCAAGTCTTCTTTCTGCTCTTATTATTATTAGACTTTTCCCAGTTTTAAAATGAATTTGATTTGCTCCTCAGATGTATAAAATATTAATACACATGTCACTGTATACCTGGTATATTTGAAACTTCATTTTACTTAATAGTTATTACATTATTTCAATAAATAACTAAATTTTGCTTGTAGAATAATAGCTATCCATTAAATTAAACATTCAAAACAAATTGACAACAGTAATTTTTACTTGGGTATCTATTATAATAACACTATTACATAGTAAGCATGAGTTTTAAATTGGATAAAAGTTATGTTTTTATTAGCTGAAAATGGGACAGTAAACAATAATGGGATAAAATTTTGCTGTTTTTTGATTTTTTGTTGTTTTCCAGATATTTCTGCTTTTATAAATTTACTTTCGAAAAAATTTTATAACCCGCATTTAATATATGGCAGATCAGGCTGCTTCTGAGGGCTGCGTTTGCTTTTATCTTTATACTCATTGCTAACCCTTCCTTTGGTATTTTTTTTCCTTTTACTATTTTTCCCCCACCACTATCCCTTATTCCCGCTTGACCCTCCCTCCCTTCCTTCTCCCTCTTAAGGTCTGAAATCTTACTTAGCTTATTAGTGTCTGCTAGTTTTTATAAGTATTCTGCTTTGTTGAATCATCTGCTCTGCAAATGTCCAATGTATGTCTTTGTCATTCTGACTTGCTTTACTACACATAATTGCTTAAACTCCTCTCATTTTACTTTTTTTTTATAATTACACTGAAGTTAAGTAAGTTGTATTTTATACTTTGTATCTTTTTTATTTATGTGATTGTAAAGTTGAATTTTGCATAAATATCAGTCATAGAGGACAGAATTCTTTTTGTTTTCTGTTCTAAAAGTGAAAACTGAGAAGTTTCATATTTTCTTCTGTAACACTTTCATTTTAGCAGTACAGTTCTAACTGGATATTCTGTACTGAACACTGTTCTTAAATATTTTCTGTTATGTATGGCAGCCTCCACTAGGGGGCTCTCATCTTCTGAACATTTCAGGTTAGCTAATGTTTTAAAGTTTGTAAAAGCTTCAAATGTGTATTAATTAATGTTGTCCAATTTGTTCATCCCTTTAATTTAAATGCTCTGTCACTTTTAGCTTCGGAGATGTTGAGACTTAATCTATGACTGAGAGCTCCAAACGGTTAACTGTATCTTTAGTTTACCCTTTTCACAACTATTTTTTCTTTATTAATTATCAGTAAGTTAGACTGTTGTGATAATTTATTGTGTAATTGATACACTTTTACTTAATATTTAGGAGCACACAGAAAAGAGGAGAATCATTTGGAATCAGCAGAATAGGTAGCAAAATTAAAGGAGTATTTAAGAGCACTACAATGGAGGGAGCTATGTTGCCTAATTATGGTTTAACTGAAGGTGAAGATGACTTTGTAAGTAAAAATCCTTTAATTAAATGTATAACCCTAAACTTACTATGGCATAAAAACCCGGATATGCTCACTTGTTCTTTTCCCTCTCCATCTTACTTTAGACTTCCTTGATTTCTCCGTTCTTTCATTAGTATCATTTCATCGTGGTACTTACATAATTTTTACAATTCTAGAGCATTAGTCATTACTTACTAAGGAAGAATGGTTTCTATTAAAGTGAGTTACTTCTAGTAGTCAAGCAATTTGCTACCTTTTGCTTAAGCTTTTACTTCATAACATCAGGATGTTGGCTCTTTCCAACCATAGGACCCAGGCACATGGATTTTTTTTTTAATAGGTGTCCTAACCCTCTTGCCACGGAAATTGTGATCTGTAGATCAGCAGCACCTGGGAGCATGCTATAAATATAGAATCTCAGTTACTTGCATTTTAAAAAGCTCCACAGTTGATTTATATGCACATTACACCTTCCATGCTATTTTATTTCTCTGTAACTTTGCATATGCTGTTCTGTTTGAAATGGCCATCCTTCAATGACGTAGAAAATTCATACTTTCCCAGTTCAGCTGCTCTTCATAAACTCTGACCTGTGTCTTCAAGTAAATCTAAGCATTCCCTTCTTTGTGCCTCCCTTAGGTCATATGGTAAAGCAGAGTACCACAGATGCTTGAAAGTATATGTTTTATCATTTCTGCTCTGTAAATTAGTGAATTCCATAAAGGCAGATAGTGTCTTGTTTGTCCTTTTCATTTATTAAGCAAATCTTCATTGGCAGAGAGTCTGCATCCTGATTTTGCCTTTTAATGCCTCAAAGCACTGGGGATAAAAAGATAATTAAGACATAGACTTTTGGCTTGAAGAAATTTACTGACTTGGGTATGAAAGGAATGAATAGTAGCAGTTGGATTGGGAGAAGGAAGTGGGGAAAGGAGTAAATAAATCCATTTCCTCTTCATCCCTTTATTTCAACTTTGTCTCACCACAAACTGATGAGTTTGTTAAGGAGATTCTGATTTCTTCATAGTAGTTTAAATAGAAAAAATATTAAGACTTTTTCCTTTTTAGATCTAAATATAGCATTCTCCCCCCCCCCTATAGCTTGTTTTACCATATAGTGTGGCTTATTTTAAACACTTGAAATTCTAGAAGCGAAGAAATGAAAAACAATCTCAATTTTATAGAGGTAGTTTTCCCTTTTAGGCCTTCTTTCCAACTTTATATTTTTGAATGCTGTAGTGAATATGTTTATGTCTGTGCCTTTTTCACAGTTAAAATTTTTTTATTTGCAATAAATACTTACATTAGAATAAATTCCCAGAAGCTGGAATTGTTTTATGACTTCTTATAAATAAGTATTGCCACAACACTTTCCAGAAGGGTTTTACTTGATGTACTTTGTAATCAGTAATATAGCACAGGTCCAATGTGTTTGTTTAGTCTCCATCAGTGGCTGTTGTCATCTGTAAAATTTTACATTCCTAAATGAAAAGTATATAATTTTTGTTTCTTATTACCAGAGTTAAATTTTTTTATATTTGTGATTTCTAGCATCTTTTTCAAAATCTCTGAAGTGTCTATTTGTTTTTATATATAGGTGATATAAAACTTGTAGTTGATGCTAGTAACATAAATTTTAATTTTTTGTCTTTAGTTTTTCAGTAGAAAATTCAATGTCACCTAATTTCAAAATACGAAATTTATAGAATTTATATGAGCATGACACTTTGGAGTTGTATCTCTTTTGCTATAGGTCTAAAGGTTCTGGATGTATAATAGTGAAGTTACGTTGATAATTATTTTCCAGATTGAAGAAGGTATTGTTGTAATGGAGGATGATTCACCAGTGGAAGCTGTGAGCACACCTACTACTCCCCGAAACCTTGCTGCATGGAAAATTAGTATTCCATATGTAGACTTTTTTGAAGATTCCTCATCTGAAAGGAAGGAGAAAAAGGAGAGAATACCTGTGTTTTGTATTGATGTTGAAAGAAATGATAGAAGAGCAGGTAGGAAGCTTTATGAATACCTTTTTTAAAAGATGCCCACTGTCTTTACCAGAAGTGATAAACATTTTGCCATTTCTAACTATTGAGTGTCACTGCAATATAAAACAAGTGTCCAGAGCAGAATATTGAATGAAAACTTAGGATTTTCTTGGTTATCTCTGTTACCAGTCACCTAATTTGTTGAATCAATACTTACTGAGTAGATACCTGCAAGATAACTGACAACCCACCAAGACATTTTATATCATGTTTTTTAAATGGTTTTGTTGCCATCATTATTAGGCATTAAATTTAGTTTTGACTACTATTAATGCACTTTATCAAGGATTGTGCTAATTTTTTTCAAGATTTATTTTTATTTATGCATATGAAAATTGGGGTATAGGTCAAAGGTACCAGATGGTGAGAGGATTCACCAGAGACAGAGTGGGGAGCAGAACAGGCAGATCTACTGGAAATACACTGCTGAGGGGAGCAGTGGGCGAGACAGGAGAGATCTGCTGCTCCATGTGGGTTAGTTCCCTGCTGGGGGATCGAACTCATGCTGCAGTGGCTGGAGATAACTGATAGTGCTGAGACTTAACCCCTTGTGCTACCAGGGAGTCCTGTATTGTACTAATTTAAGACTGCATTTCTCTTCTTCCATTGTTGTGATAGAACTGATAAAAATAACACAACTTAACAAATTTTCTTTGTTTTCCTATCTTTTTTCTTTTGGTTGTTTCAGATGTGAACTGTTAGAGGGAGTGGAGGTAAAAAGCATCCTTAGTGGGATGGATAAATAGTTATCAACTTGGGTTTTGTCTAATAGGTGGCACAGTTGGCGTAAGCAAAAGCACATCAAAGTTGTGCACATTTTGGGAATGATCAGCAGAAAAATAGAGCTGGATTCAGGAAGAGGAAACTATCTGTGAGGAAAGAAAGGGGTAAAGTTGTGTCAGAAAATGGTTTTGAAGGAAGATAGTGTGAAAATCAGCTAATAATTCTCCTTATTCATTTTTCAAAAAGTATTTGCATTTCATTTTTTCTCAGAAACATTCTATTTTAAGAACATAAAGCCTATGAAAAGTGGTCAGAGTAGTTAGGTATGATTTTTTTCTGATTGTAAAGTTTAAGGGAGCATCTTGGTCTATGTAGTACAGAATGAATGTTGATTTTGCTGTAGTTGCTATTAGTTCACTCTAGTTGCTGTTCTATCTCAGTATTGTAATGGGTGTATAAACCATTGTTGGTTGTCTGACTTAAGTTTCAGATAGTTTTGTTTTCATCTTTTGTCTGCCATATCTACTGAATGGTACTTTAGGTGTTGGAAAGAGTGAAAACAAAGAACTTAGTTTCTGAGTTCAGCGTCCAGTGCCTAAAATCTGACTCTTCCTACATTGTTCATTTGGTTTGTCTGGAAATTATTTAAATTTTTTGATTCCTTAGATGTAAATATAAATGAATTTATATGAACATGTAGTATCCTTCATCTCCTTTTGAAAAAACTGTATGATACATATTTTTAAATATATTGGGAATATACTTTTATTTTTTGCATTTTGGACAACTATCTTTAAGTTTCGTGCTGTATTTTTAAATTTTTGACTCGACAATTTAGCCATAAAATAAAAACTAAAAAGTCTTAAAAACTTGTACTCTAAAGATGTTTTCATCCATAATGCCGCAGACTTTCATTGTTAGTATTATGTCTTAGGAAAGTGATGTCTATGAGGTGGAGGGTAACAGTCTATCATTTATTAACTTGATTTTACTTGTATAGAAACTAGCACTTTCAGGATTTTAAAAACCAAAACTAAATATAATAAGATCTCTTAAAAGCATTGGTGGAAAGAAAAATAGGATTTGCTTTATAGGTTGTGACTGTAACTGGTTGATTTTTTTCTTAGTAGGTGTTGCTTTGGGATTGTGGTTTTAGTTGAGTTGGTCCAGTGTACTTCCAATTTATGCTGGAATGGTCTGAAACACTAATAATTGCACTAACATTTACTCTATGAGTTCTACATTGTACAAAAGTGCTTTATGTGCATCATTTTATGTAATAGGTATAATTGTTCTACGTCTAAGCAAACTATTTTACACTGAGGTTTTTTTTTTTTAAAGATTTATTTATTTATGCATACAAGAACTGGGGTACAAGCCAGAGCTGTGGGGGAGTTAAGAGGATTCACCAGAGACAGAGTGGGGAACAGAACAGGCAGATTGAAGTACACTGCTGAGGGGAGCAGCCTGTAAGTCAGGAGAGGTCTGCTGCACCATGTGGGTTGCTCCCTAGCTGGGGATTGAACTCATGCTGGCAGTGGCTGAGGACTTCATAGGTTGCGTCTTACCCCTTTGTGCCACCTGGGAGGCCCCTGAGGTTATTTTTCAAGGTCATATATATGTATAGTAAGTTGGGGGTACTGGGATTGGAACAGGAAGCTTGACCTAAGTTATTTTATTTTTTTAAAGATTTATTTATTTATTTATAGAAGCACTGGGCACAGTCAGAAGCACGGGAGGGTGAGAGAATTCACCAGAGCCAGAGCAGGGAGCAGAGCAGGCAGAAGGACCGAAGTACACTGCCGAGGGGAACAGCGGGCAGCAGGAGAGGTCTGCGCACCATGTGGGACCCTCCTCTGGTGGCCGGGGAGCAGAGGGGAATCGAACCGGCGCTGCAGAGGCCACGGGCAGCTTCGCAACCCAGCGCTCAACCGCTGTGCCACCGGGGAGGCCCCCTGATTTATTCTTTAAAGCATTACTTCATACTATTCAATTTGGTAGTCACTTAGCCACATGTGGCCATTAAAATTAAGTTATATTGAGTTTCATTTCCTTAGACTACCTACATTTCACATGATTGATAGTCATGTATGGCTTATAGCTACTGTATTAGTGCAGATAATACAGAACATTTTCATAATTGCAAAAAATTTCATTGGACAGCACTGTTTTATATTGTAATAGCTCTGGAAAATTGGTAAATATTTATTATTGAGACTAAAAATTGACAACAAATCTTTATGAAATAAATAATTTTCACTACATTTTAAAAATTAGCATAATTGCATAATTTTTTTAAGTTCTGTGATTCTGTTGTAGAAAAAATTTATACTTCATAAGTAGGTGAACTTTATTAATCTTTACTATTTAATTAAAAATTAGAATATGTTAATGTAATGGGAAAATACTACATTGTTAGACTGGAATAATTTCTGTATTTGTATATTTAATGTTTTAAATATTGCATCCTTTAGGTAATAGTTTGTGAAATTATTTATTACTCAGTATGTATTCATCCAATTTACAGTTGGGCATGAGCCTGAACATTGGTCTGTCTATAGAAGATACCTTGAATTCTATGTACTTGAATCAAAGCTAACAGAATTTCATGGTATGTTGTCTTTTTTCTATAAAACATTATATATCAGATTTAACTGACATGAAAAGCTGTTGAATCAAGATAAAGTTTTAAAGTTGTTTTACCAAAGAACTAATTGACTTATATGAATACTCATTGACAATAGGAGCGCACTTATTTCTGCTTATTTTATACTTTTGAGGCTTTTATAGTGCACATTTATTGCTTTTTAAATACTAATTTTATCTTGATGTGGCAGAGAATTTAAACCAGACATTTCAGAGTTGCTCTGTTCTTTTGCCCACATCTTCCATGGCAGATGTTATGATTTAGTGCTTAGTCTTGGATACAGAAACAAAACTTGTAGCTGAATGTTTCTGTTGAGGGTAATTAGAAAACAAGAATTTTCTTTTAGTTTTTCCTTACTTCTCACTCTCTTTCATCTGTGTCTATTTTAGTTAGTATCAGGGTTATAGTTAAGAAGTATTTCCAGTCATCTTCTAAAATTAGTGAGTTTGATTTTTGTGGTCTTTTTAAAAAAAAAAAAAATTATTTATTTATACAAGAGCTGGGGTACAGGCCAGAGGCGTGGGAGGGTGAGAGGACTCACGAGAGACAGAGTGGGGAGGAAAACAGGCAGATGGACCGAAAGCACTGCTCTCCCAGACGGAGAGTACATAGAGCACTGCTGAGGGGAGCCATGTGGGCATCCGGGCAGTCAGAAATCGAACCCATGCTGCAGAGGCTGTGGGCAGCTTCACAGCACTGCACTCAACCCGCTGTGCCACTGGGGAGGCCCCTGATTTTTGTGGTCTTTTAATCATTTTATTTTAAAAAAGTTCTGCAGAGTAGCCCTTCATCCAAATAGAGGTTGGTTCTGAGCTAAGTACAGGGAATGTTGTTTAACCTGCTGTAAAAGCAAAGCCCAGGATAAGGAGATTATTATAAGAAGATAAAGAATACAAGGTGCATTGTTTGCCTAGATTTTTGAGTTTGTGTTTGTCTTTAAATGATACTGTCTTTGCCTTTGCCAATCTGGTACATTGCTCTCTTTACCTTGTTCTTTCTTTGACAACTTTTCCTTTTGACTTAGTGTTGTGAGAATATAATTTTTCTCCATACTTTAAAATCCTGCATCAACCAAAATTGGTTGGCTTTCCAATAATTTTTTTCCTTTAGGTACTAAAATTTCTCAAATTGTCAGCCCCATCTGAGAAAGCATGTCCATGGTTTTTAAATTTTGTTTTAAAATTTACATAGCGTTAGCAAAATGGTATCTCTTTTTTCTGTGAGGGAGTAGATATCTCTTTAGTAATAAATTTGGTTTAGTAGAATTTCACCAACTTCTAAATAATCTCATGATCCATTTTTGAAGCTCTTTTACTCTAGTATAGAAGGTAAAAATGTATCAGTGAAGAGTGGTTATTGAGTCAAAGTGGTATTTTGCATGTCTATAGACTCAAGTTCTTTGGTCTGGACTTCTGACTAGCAACTCTGTGATTTTTGGCACAGTTCTCTAAAGGTTAATGCCATATCTCTACAAGGCAGCATTATGAATATGAATTTGCCATAATAAAGTATAAGCTAAGTTTTTAAAATAATGGGAGAACATAATAATAAGTTTCATATATATTCATTTCAGGCACATTTCCTGATGCCCAGCTTCCTTCCAAGAGGATCATTGGCCCTAAAAATTATGAATTCTTAAAGTCAAAGAGAGAAGAGTTTCAGGAATATCTTCAGGTATATCACTGTTAATTTAAAACATTGCTAATCATAACATTCTCTAATTTTAATTTTCTCTTGTACATATTTACTACTTTATTTTACAAATATTGTGTGTATATTAACGTTTATTTTCATGTGGAAATAAATTATTGTCAAGAGCATACTACTGAATTATTAGGGAGAAGAAAGTCTTGTTTTGGGTTTAGTTGGCTTAACTTGCACATTGAAAGCAATATGGGAAGTTAAAGGAAGCAAGAAAAAAACCTCTTGGTGTGAAAGATAAAGGCAATCTAAGACTGCTGGATAGGTTTTGCTGTTTTCGTCTTATTTTTTGTTTTATTTTATTTAAAAACATTTAAAAATATTTATTTATTTATGCATACAAGAACTGGGGTACAGGTCAGAGTTGTGGGGAAGAGGGTGGTAAGAGGATTCACCAGAGACAGAGTGGGAACAGAACAGGCAGACTGACTGAAATACACTGCTGAGGGGAGCAGCGGGTGAGACAGGAGAGGTCTGCTATGCCATGTGGGTCACTTCCCTGGCTGGGGTTTTAACTCATGCTGCAGAGGCTGCAGATAACTTCACAGTGCTGTGCTTAACCCCTTGCGCCACCAGGAGGCCCTTGTTTTATATATATATATATATATATATATATATATATATATATATATATTTTTTTTTTTTTTTTTTTTTTTTTTTTCCCCTGAACATTGAATCTTCACTCCTGTTTTATTCTTCATTTTTTTCCCTCTTTGTAGTTTGTTGATGTTTTTGCAGTTTCCTTGGGCTCTCCCCACTCTCTGCCATTTACCACCTGGCATCCAATTCCATTTTTCTCACTTCTGTGTACACTGTATTATGTAAAAAATGTAATCGATATATTATTTCCATTGATAGTTCAATCCTGTTAAAAATTACTTATTTGAAACTTCTCTAAAATAAATGACCATCTTTCCTTAGTTAAGGTTAGAAGACCAAAGAGTACATACTTTTATGTAATTTATGTAAAGGTCTCTTTCATTTGGGCATGGAATTTTGTATTTTTTTTATATTAATTTAGTTAATTTGGATGCTTCCTAGTAAAAAATAAGCACTTTTTAAATTAAAAACATTCAGAACACTAGAGAGGTATTTACATTATATTTCCTGTATTGAACTGTTGAATATTTCAACCCAGAAATGTTCCCTATATAATCGTTCAGTAGTCTGAAAATTGAAAAGGGAATTAACTGTTAACTACTGTAAGAACATTTGAATACAGAATGTGCCTGTGTCTTTGTTGATACAGTGAACTCACTATTTGAACTAATTCTAAGAATTCTAAGAGTGGAAGTACCTTATCGTAGAAGAAGTATTTTCTGGCAATGTGAGAGTTAAAGGTTGCAGTGCAAATATTTTGTTTATTTAGATTTCTAGTCATAAAGTTTTGTGACTGATTTCATAGTTATGAAGCTGCCTCAGTTAACATTAGCTATAAGAAATCAGTTTATATCGTAAGAAAATAGTGTTGCAAAAACAGCAACATATTTTCCAAGTAATTTCACATTTAGTTTCCTGCAAAATACTTCATGTAGTTTCTTTTAATTGTTAAAGTTGTATGATATTGTAATACTTGTTTTGTAGTTAAGAAATTCAGAAATAATATTAGCTTATGTTTAATCTTCCTTTCTGTGTATCAGGTACTATGCTAAATCCTGCATATTAACAACACCATAAAGCAGGTAGTATTGTTATTTTCATTTTGCAGATGAGGAAACTGCCTCTTGGCCAATTTAGGAATTTTTCTAAGGTTTCATATATATATTTATCTATAGCTAGCAAACAGAAGAGCCAGAATTCAAACCCATTCCTGTCCGACCGCAGAGGCTGCTATGCTATGCTATTCTCTCTATAATGCACTTTTGTTATTATTCTGAATGTAAGTTAAATTTGGGGGATTTAAAATTGTTTTCTTGGTTTAAAAAGTCATATGCAGGTTGTAATCACCCTTCTAGATTTTTAAACTTTTTTTCCTTTTTTTGTTAATTCAAGAAACTTTTGCAGCATCCAGAACTGAGTAATAGTCAACTTCTGGCAGATTTTCTCTCCCCCAATGGAGGAGAAACACAATTTCTTGACAAGATACTCCCAGATGTTAATCTTGGTAAGTCAGTTTAAAGAATCATGTATGAAAGGATTAAACTGGAAAGAAAAGAATCAGTCATTTTGGATTAATTTAGAGAAATGATTTATGTGTAAAGCCATGTGTCAGACTTTAAAGAGCCTTTTACACACTGTTAATAGGAATATAAATTGCAAGACCACTTAGAAAAAGTTTAGTATAAACTGAATGCCCTGGCAGGTCCTCTGTGTAAGATATGTATTCTGAAGAACCTTGTTCCATATTTAAGAATGTTCATAGTAGTGTTGTTTATAATATAGCACAAAGGAAATAATACAAATGTTCATCAGCAATAGAATGAATGGATAAGTTGTGGTAAATTAACAAAATGAATATTTAAAGCAGTGACTACCTATAGCATGTAGCTATGTGTGTAAAGTCAAAACAGATGAAACTAACACAAGCTGGAAGAGTTAGAATGAAATTGTTTTAAAAAATGAGGAAAAGCAGTATTTCTAAATATATTTTATGTGACTTAAGTATAGATAGAACATTTATAAATGAATGTATTAAAGTGGGCATTTGGCTTTCATCTGTATCTCCTCATTAATACATTTATTTGAGCCAAAATATTTGTTGTGTGAATGTGGGTTCTTTTATCATGGGAAAATATAAAGGAAAGTATAAAAAATATTTGGCTTAATATGATGTTTAGGAGATATCAATAGAATTGGGTAGGCTTGGTTACTGAAAGGGTTTGACTGAAAGAGAAGCAGTCAAAGAGGACCCAGGTTTCTATTTAAAAGACTGAATAAATACTGTTTTTTGCTGGCATTAGGAATAAATAAAAAGCTTGTTGAGTTTATAACATCTAATTGAAGGAGCTTTTGTAAGTCAGGAAAGGCCAGGGAGCGGATTTGAGCAGAGATTTGAGTGTTAGTCGAAGTCATATTGAATAAATAACTTGGCTCAGGTAGAATATGTAGAAGAGAGAAATAAGCACAGCACAAAATTCTCTAAGGAATTTAGGAAATTCTAAGGACAGAGGAATAATTTTTTGGGTACCAGAGGAGAGATAACTTGGTAGATGGCTGGGCAGTTTACATGTTGTAAAACAATCTCTGCTGTTAATTTTAATTATTATGTTTCCTGCTGTCGCCACAAGTCTGCTTTTTTCCAGTTATACTAAAAGAAATTTAGGTTATATTTATCAATTTTGAGTGATATTTAAAGTCATTCTAAATACTTTAGAAAAATCTCAAGGTGTTGTTATTTTATTTTATTTATTTTATTTTTTTAAAGATTTTTTTTTTATTTATTTATACAAGCATTGGGTACAGTCAGAAGCATGGGAGGGTGAGAGAATTCACCAGAGCCAGAGCGGGGAGCAGAGCAGGCAGAAGGACCGAAGTACACTGCTGAGGGAAGCAGCGGGCGGCAGGAGAGGTCTGCGCGCCATGTGGGACCCTCCTCCGGTGGCCGGGGAGCAGCTGGGGATCGAACCGGCGCCGCAGAGGCTGCGGGCAGCTTCGCAACCCAGCGCTCAACCGCTGCGCCACCGGGGAGGCCCCAAGGTGTTTGTTATTTTATAAGGGAACCTAAGAGAGAAGATGGAGAAGAAATTTTGGCTAACAGGATTGGCATATAAATGCTTAGTCTAAAATTCAAAGTATAAACTATACAAATAGCTAATTAAAATGTTTTAGCAACTATTAAAACTTTTTTCTTTTAACTTATATGCTATTTTAGATATCTTTATTCACTATTGTTTAAAATCTTTTAAAAGATTTTTTTAAACATTTAGTTATTTATGTACACAAGAACTTGGTACAGGCCGGAGGTACAGGGAGTGAGAGGATTCACCAGAGACAGAGTGGGGAACAGAAAAGGCAGACTGATGAAATACACTGCTTAGAGGAGCAGCAGGCAAGACAGAAGAGGTCTGCTGTGCCATGTGGGTAGCTCCCTGGCTGGGGATCGAACTTGTGCTGCAGTGGCTGCAGATAGCTTCATAGTGCTGCTATGAAGTGCCACCAGGGAGGCTCCTCAAAGATTTCTTTTTTTATATATATTAATTTTTTTTTATTTTTTACATCATTGTTCATTTTTAAACAATATTTGCTTCCCCCCACCCCCTCTGGTGTAGTCCCCATAGAGTTTCCTTCCCCAAGGCACCCGTGCACCATCACCTCAGTCCCCTGTGCTCCTCCCTTCCTCCCTCTGATCCCTCTCCCTCCTCCTCCCCTGCAGTATGTCTCTGATTTATAATTGCTGGGTTTTGCTTTGTGTTTTGTACTATTACTATTTTTTTACACTGATGTCTTATTTGCTTCCCCTATATTCCTGCTATAAGTGAAACCATATGATATTTTTCTTTTTCCTTCTGGCTTATTTCACTGAGCATAATTCCTTCTAGTTCCATCCATGTTGCTGTGAATGGCATAAGTTTATCTTTTTTGATTGCTGAATAATATTCCATTGTGTATATATTCCACATCTTCTTGATCTAGTCATCTATTTTTGAGCATTTGGGTTGTTTCCAGGTTTTACCTATTGTAAATAGTGCTGCAATAAACATAGGAGTACAGGTGTTCTTTTGAATCAATGTTTTTGTGTCCTTGGGTAGTTCCCTAGTAGTGGAATTGCTGGGTCATATGGTAGCTCCATTTTTAGTAGACTGAGGAACCTCCAGATAGCTTTCCATAGTGGTTGGACCAGTTTGGACTCCCACCAGCAATGTAGGAGAGTTCTTTTATCACCACATCCTTGCCAAAATTTGTTGTTGCTTGTTTTTTTGATATGTGCCATTCTTATTGGTGTAAGATATCTCAGTGTGGTTTTAATTTGCATTTCCCTGATTATAAGGGATGTTGAACATTTTTTTCATATGCCTGTTGGCCATTTGCATTTCCTCTTCCCTCAAAGATTTCTTAAGGAAATGTTCAGATACATACAACAGTAGGGAAATTTGTATAATGGACTTGCTTACCCTATTTCAATCAATAGTTACCAAAATTGGCATGTTCCATGCCTCCTCCCAAATTTCCACCCCAATGGATTATTTTAAAATAAATCCCAAATGTTGTAATATAATTAAGAATACTGTGTTTATCATAAGTTTCTGTTCTGAAATGGTTGTTTATAAATTTATTTCACAATTTTACTTTTTATGACTGTTTAATATTTTAAATTCATGTGTGTAGTTAGGTACATTATGCTTTCATAAAATTAATATTTTGCTTTGAATTTCAGGAAAAATTATAAAATCTGTTCCTGGAAAACTTATGAAAGAGGTAAATAACTGATTTATGTATGTTCTGTTACATAATAGTTATAAGCATACTTTTATCAATGCATTCTAATGGGTTGCATGATACTAAAAATTATAATCTTGATTTTCATACTGTGAACTCTGTGTCACCACAGAAAGGCCAGCATTTGGAACCTTTCATCATGAATTTCATTAATTCTTGTGAATCTCCAAAGCCTAAACCAAGTAAACCAGAACTGACCATTCTCAGCCCTACTTCAGAAAACAACAAGAAGGTATGTTACCATTGCCTTAAGGAGCCATTAAGTTTTTTTTTTTTTTAAAGATTTATTTATTTATGTATGCAAGAACTGGGGTACAGGCCAGAGGTACAGGGGGTGAGAGGATTCACCAGAGACAAAATGGGGAACAGAACAGGCAGATTGACTGAAACACCCTGCTGAGGGGAGTAGCTGGCTAGTCAGGAGAGGTCTGTTGTGCCATATGGGTTTCTCCTTGGCTGGCTGTGGATCGAGCTCTTGCTGCAGAGGCTGCGGATTGCCCCATAGTGCTGTGCTCAACCCCTTGTGTCACCAGGGAGGCCCAGGAGCCATTAAGTTTGAAGTTGCATTACTTGAAATGACTTTTCCATTGTAAGGAAAATCCTGGGTTACTAAAATGGGTGGTATGGAAATCAGTTATAGAGTATAAAAGGTGTATTGTATGTAGTTGCTTGGTGGTTTGCTTTAATGTGGTAATTTTTTTTAACCAGTTTGTTTGCAAATTTCTTCCATTTCTATATTTGGGGTATTTTTTTTTTAAAGATTTATTTATGCATACAATAACTGGGGTTCAGGCCAGAGGTGTGTGTGTTGGGGGGTGAGAGGATTCACCAGAGATGGAGTGGGGTACAGAACAGGCAGATTGACTGAAATACACTGCTGAGGGGATCAGGGGGCGAGTCAGGAGAGGTCTGCTACCATGTGGGTAGCTCCCTGGCCCGGGATTGAACTCATGCTGCAGTGGCTGCCGATAGCTTCATAGGTTGTGTCTTAACCCCTCGTGCCACCAGGGAGGCCCCTCTGGTATTTTTAGGGTGTCAATCACCAACTTCAAACAAGGAATTAATTGCTATATTTATTTTTATTTGATGGTGTTATCTAATGACATAAAATATTTCATCCACTTGTTAAAGCAAGTATTTTGTTATATATATGTTATATATATGTCTACAGTATTGAATTGTGGGCCCTGGGAATATAAAGATAAATACCCTATTCTCAAGAAGCTCAATTTAATGTCAGAGTATAGTGTCCAGTATTGGGAGCAATGGGAGCTCAAAGGACAGCCTCCTTATCCCCTAAAAAAAAAAAAAAAAACAAACCCTTCATTTTGTTTGTTAGTATTTTTAAATAATATCTTTAATATTTTTTCACATTATAACTTCATTGTTGATAAGCAAAGATACATTTGAATTTTCATCCAGTAATCTTGCTGGGCATTAATTTTAGTAATATATTTATTAAATCCTTTTGATTTATCCAATTATCTGAAAATGATGGCAGTTTTGTTTTATTCATAGATAAAACCTGCTATACAAAGAGGATGATTTCAGTGTATTACCATTAAATAGTATAGTGTAGCATTTTTCATAGATACAAACTTATAAGTATTATTTTGGGTGGAGCATGTATTTTTCATTTACCTTTGAGTATAAATGTAGAAACAGAGCTTACCTTATATGACACTGTTTTGACTGGAAAATGTTTGAATGCATTTGTTCTGTGTCATTTTAATCATAGATAATTTTTTATGAGTTTAATGATGTTTACCTCCATGTTTATGGGTGGACTTGGCCTGTAATTTTTCCTGTCTTGCTCTATCCCTATCAGGTTTTGGTATCAAGATTGTATTTGTCTTTTCTATTCCTAACTTGTAGAGTTATAATTTGAATCATTAGTTCATTAAGTATTTGATAGAACTTATTGGTGAAATCATGTAGGCCTTTGTAGGAAAAATTTTTTTTTTTACAATCAATGTAACTTTAAAAGTGATAATAATCTTCAGGTTTATGGTTTCATTTGTTAGTTTTTGATAAGTTATATTTTTCAACAAATTTTTCATTTTGCTAAATTTGGACATTTTTTGATGTGAAATTGTTGACATATTCTCTCTTCTTTACACTTTCTCTGACGTATGTAGGTAGTTATGTACCTTTTTATTTTTGAAATTGTGTTTTATTTTACTTTTTTAAATCAATCTTGCCAAAGATTTTGTCCCATTTTTTATTTTGGCTTTGTTGATCTTTTCTATCATACTTTAATTTCTATCAGATCCTTAATTTCTGCTCTTTATAATTGATATTTTTGCTTATTTTGAGCAGAAAATGAGGATAGATTTAGTTTTATCATTTCAACTATAAATGATCTTCATCTTTTTTTTTCATATTCTTAGACTAAGAAAGTATAAATAAGTTTTGTTTCAAGCTAAATACTCACTAACAGCCCATTAATTAGTGACTTACAATTTTTAAGTCATGTATTAGCTATCTTTAATATATTTACACACCTTTATTTATTTCTTTACTCCTTTGGGTGTAAGATAAACAAAAAAGGAGGAGTTCTTTAGGGATGATGAATTATCTGTTGTGTTTAAAATGAATACAGACTGGGCCTCCCCGGTGGCGCGGCGGTTGAACACTGGATTGTGAAGCTGCCCGCGGCCTCTGCAGTGCCGGTTCAATCCCCGGCTACTCCCCAGCCACTGGAGGAGGGTCCCACATGGTGCGCAGACCTCTCCTGCCGCCCTTTGCTTCCCTCAGCAGTGTACTTTGGTCCTTCTGCCTGTTCTGCTCCCTGCTCTGGCTCTGGTGAATTCTCTCACCCTCCTGCGCTTCTGACTGTACCCAGTGCTTGCATAAATAAAAATATCGTTTAAAAAAATATCGTTTAAAAAAATATCGTTTAAAAAAAAATATCGTTAAAAAAATAAATAAATAAAATGAATACAGACTTGTAAGTATTATTTTGGGTGGAGCATGTATTTTTTATTTACCTTTGAGTATAAATGTAGAAACAGAGCTTACCTTATATGACACTGTTTTGACTGGAAAAAGTTTGAATGCATTTGTTCTGTGTCATTTTAACCTTACAAGTATTATCAGCTGATATAATAAACTGTATATCTCTTTATTATTTAAACTCTAGCTTTTCAATGATCTGTTTAAGAATAATGCAAATCGTGCTGAGAATGCAGAGAGAAAGCAAAATCAGAATTACTTTATGGAGGTGATGACTGTAGAAGGAGTCTATGATTATCTGATGTACCTGGGTAAGATCTAAGTGGTACTCTTAAAACTTGTTTTTCATTCATCTATCATATTTCTTCTGTGATACAAATGGATGCTTTTGAATATTGCCCTGTCATTTTTTTAATTGAAATTGCTTCTTTTATATAAGTTGAGTGCTGTTATTCTAAAGATATTGGCTACTGGTGTTTACAAATAAAATACTGACTATTTGTGTCTTTTATATTGAAAAATGTTCAAAAGATCTACTTACTTAGCAATAAAGTATTCCATATGATTCTTTTTAGGGCGGGTGGTTTTTCAAGTTCCTGACTGGCTTCATCATCTCTTAATGGGAGCTCGAATTCTCTTTAAAAATACTCTGGAAATGTATACTGAGTACAATCATCAGCATAAACTAGAACAGCTATTTCAGGAGCACCGTTTAGTGTCACTCATAACACTTCTTAGAGGTTTGTATTATACATGTATTTTATGTTTTGTGTACTGTTAAGATTGTAATTTATTCTAAAAGAGTGATGTCTTGTTTTTCTTAAGTTTATTACTATTTCTTCTGTGAGGAACACTGTGTGTATAATAGGTAAAAATTTCAGCATTTTTTTGGTCTCTTTTCAGATGCTGTATTCTGTGAAAACACTGAACCTCGTTCTCTCCAAGATAAGCAAAAACGAGCAAAACGGACTTTCGAAGAAATGATGAATTACATGCCAGGTATAATATTTGAGAAGTAGTTTAATATAGACTAGCATTCCTTTTAGGTCATAATGTATAATTATTGAGGCTAGTTTTTACTGTTATTTTCTTCATTTTAGAATTAGCTATAAGGACCTATTAAACTTAACTCAGTAATAAAATTTGATTTTTATGATGTTAGCACTAAAACCTTTAAGGTAAGACCATTTCTACTTACACAATAGCCAGAGTCTTTCAATAATAACTTATACTCAGACTAATCAAAGTTCCATGTTAGTGGGGTATTTGAATTCCTGTTGCCCACTGTCACCTTAAGAAAAGCTGTAGTAGTGTGCATAACTAAAAGACTAGAATTCATTCATTCATTTTAAATTATTGAGGACCTCCCATGTGCTAGGTGCTGGACAGTATGCAAGGGGTATAAAAAGTGTGCTAGGCAGTACTAGGCAGGATACAGGCATATAAAAAGTGTACATGGGTTGCAGGAAGACAGAGATACAGACAAAGCATATATATGATAATAGAGAAATGTTCAAGTATTTTAAAGAAGGATGATGATCACTTCTGGAAAGATCAACTTGGACCGCTAAGTAAATGGCAGTAATATTGATAGAAGGAAAAAAGTCGAAGGGTCAAAAGTGGAGGATACTTAGGTTAGGACATTTTGATGGTGAAGTACCGATTTAATTATTCAGAAGAAATTTCTGTAAGCATTTAGGCATCTAGGTTTGAAAATTAGAGGAATGATGGTCCAGGAGAGAGATGTGGAAGTCATGTGTGAGTGGATAATAGTGCTTTGGAAAAAAATAGAGAATTCAATAAAGGCACGTTTGGAAAAATTAGTCTCAGAATAATCCTGCTGTTTTGTGTGAAGACAGTTAAATCTGTCATCTGAATGTAAAGTGAACAAAAATCTATCCTGGAGTAGGTCTTCTGTAATAAATGATGAAGTAATTTCTTACTTATTTTGTATTTTAGTGACCATTAGAATTCATACTTTTAGCAGTCTTAGTTTTTCAAGAACAATGTGGAAAGTCAATGAATATAATAATTTGATATTTTGCTGAGGCAAAAGTTTAAATCACACCTACTTCAAGACTTCTGTTTGGGAAGGAGTGATTTAGCTAGTGAGTAAGCTTAGCATGGCTTTCTGTTCTCATTTCTTAGTGACTCATGAAGGACTCCTGAAGCATAACTCTTTGTTATGCTTCACGTGTATTAATTGGGAAACTATATGTAGTGTTGGTGAATTAAAGGATTTGCAAAGATCCACATTGAGCCACGTATTTTGAAAATATCAGAATCTACTGTGCTTATTGTAAATTGAATTTGACCTTTGCCTCTTAGACTTAGATATATACTTCATAGAACCAAACGTGAAGTAAGGATTTTCCTTAACTAGCAATCAGGACTTCTTTATGACTGGAAGGTAAAGAACAAATATTTGAGCACCTTATTAAGAATTTTCCTTTCCTGCTTGTGGGAAAACATTCAGTGGCAGTTTTAATAAGGACTAACTTTTTAGTAATAGGCATGCAAACAAGACTCTGAAGTTTTTGAATCCTAAATTAGTGTTTAAACATTTCCTAAAAGGATTGTTGCTTAAGATGACTAATAATACTTATCCAAAAAGCACAGAAGTAAATTAAAGTAGTCCTATGTTAAAAAATTATAATGGTATGGTAAAGGATGGGCTTAAAATCTTATCGGTAACCTTAGTGTAGTGTGTATACATGTTGATTTCTTAACAATGAGCACTTAAGACTTACATAATGTTATGATGCAGTGTTACTTAAAAAAAAAAAAGGTAATTCAAAAAATTGATGGGAAAATACTACTGACATGTGAAATTCAGAATTCTGAGCATATCCGGATAATGTTATCGCTGCCTCAGAAAATGAGAAAAAACAAGTTAAATACTGTGTGACCCACAGTAGCCAAGGAATGTGCAGCCAGTCATGTCCCCCCAGTGGCCAGAAGAGCAGAGTCTCGTGAGCAAACTACAGCGATGGGGCTAAGTGCTGTGTCCTCAGAGCCACATGATGCATGAAAAAAAATTCATTTTCAGAGAGGATTTTGACATTGAGAAATACTCTGCAAAAAATTGAGATTTTAACATTTTACATCACGGTAAATCACCTGTTATGAAAAGTATTTTATTCCTTTTATATCATTATTTCCGTTTGATACATTAGAGTTATCATGCATGCAAGTTAAGGAGAATTTCATACCACTGAACTTTCACAGATTTGCTGGAATTTTTTTTTTAAAGATTTATTTATTTATGCATACAAGAGCTGGGGTGCTGGCCAGAGATGTTGGGGTTGAGAGGATTCACCAGAGACAGAGTGAGGAGCAGAACTGGTGAATCAACTGAAATACACTGCTGAGGGAAGGAGTGGGCAAGACAGGAGAAGTCTGCTGCGCTATGTGTATCACCTCTCTGGCCAGGGATCGAAGTCGTGCTGTAGCGGTTGCAGATAGCTTCATAGTGCTGAGACTCAACCCCTTGCGCCACCAGGGAGGCTGATTTGCTGGAATTTTTCATGGCATTTACACAAAGTATGAGATCTCATAAAATAAACGAGGTTAATTATAAAACAAGTATATATTCAATAAATAATAATTTAATGAATCTAAAAATTAAACTTCTTTTTGATCTTAAGATATCAAAACATTATGAAAATGTATAGAATATAAAGTAGAAGCCATACTCTTTCTACTGTGGAGGAGTAGAATGCCTTAATGTGAATCTCACATTTTTCTATGCATTTCTATACATATGTACAGGTGATTTTCAGTTTTTATTTTGTTTTATCCTGAATGGATCATATATGTTTTCCAGCTGTCTTTTATTACTTAATAGTATAAGCCAATTTCTTTACTGCAGCATTTCTCAGAGCTTGCAGTATGTTTTGAGCATTGTGACTCTCCAGAAGGCTATATAAAACTGCATTTCTCAACTTGACCAAAAATTTCTTTTTTCTTGGAGCCTCTAGCAGAAACATTGCTTTTGTAAATGCTGATTTACAATTTTTGCACAATATCTGCAAAGCAGGGTAGAAGTTTTCCTTTATGGTAAATCATGTTATAAAATTGTTTTACATATGACTTATTTAGATCTTATAGTCAAGCTTATTGGTGAAGAAGCCAAGTATGAAGGCATCAGACTTCTATTTGATGGCTTACAGCAACCAGTTCTCAACAAGCAGGTAAAATCCATTAAAGCAGGTTGACTAGTGTTGGCTAGTTTCGGTGAATAGCACAGTAGGGTGTCTGGTATATTATTAATTTGAAATGACACTTTATTAAATCATTGCAATGTAATTCAAACATTCAGATAGAAAAAAATTTATTTATATTACTTTTTTTGCTGATTACCTTTTTTGTTTATAACATGAATTGTTTTGACTTGAAATACATTATTTTTGTTGTGGAACATTTGGAAAATGCAGAAAATTCATGAAGTAAAGTACAAATTTAAAAAAATTTAGAATTCCAGTATTCATATTATGTAGAATGACTGGTTAATATTTTTATGTTTACAGGCTATACATGTTTTGTTGACATCTTAATACAGTTGCAATTTTGTGTCCTTATTTAAAATTTTTGTTACATTTATAATATTTAACATAAAGTGAATTATGCAACCTCATAACATATGTCTACATATGAACACTTATGTGCCTAACACTCATCTTAAGAACAGAATGTTGAGCAACTCTCCTGCCTGCAGGTGTCTCTTTCTTCTTTTCTAATAAACCTGTTCCTTTAAAATGAGAGAGAGAGAAAAAAAAAGAGCAGAATGATGATACTTTTGTGTTGTTTTTATTATCAGTTCTGTTCCCTACCTTTCCATTTAGAGGTTACCATAGTCCTGAGCTTTTGTGTTTCATTTTTATGGTTTTTCATCTAATGCCTTAAAAAAAATTTTTGGTGTTTTAGCTGACTTATGTCTTACTGGATATTGTGATACAAGAACTGTTTCCTGAGCTAAATAAGGTAACTGAAAAGCAGCAATTTTATTCTTTGTTATTTTAATGGCATGCTGACATTTATTTTAATTAGAAACACAAAAAATTTAAGAAAACCTTTTTTTCTGTGATCCTTTTAAAAATGAACAACCTTAACAAGTGACTGTTTATATTTTCTTTATTTAACATACTCAAACAGAGTGGTTTTTGGGTGGTAGGAATGAATAGCTTCTGCCATGACTTCATTTCTTCATAATTACAAGTAGGTAGGGACATTATACTTTGTAAGTCTTTCTTGAGGAAAATGAGAGTTTTAAATTCTACCACAAGAACCTGTCATCTCTAACATTGAATGCTGTGTACATTACACTTCAATGTTTTTGAAGCACTTCAGTTTATATGAGTCCATGAGCACAGAAAGAATTGAAATTAGAGGATGGATATGTTATTATTATATTGAATCTTGAGGATTTTAAATTTTTAATAAAGATTTAAGTCATTTTTCACTGTTTTTGCTTTTTGACTAATGGCTTTGGTCAGAGGAAATCACTACTCTTCAAGACTGCATTGTAATAATAAAATGTCAGTTTTGTAGTGTGAGGAAACTAGATTGGGACTATTTACCTATTAAATGCTTTTAAGTTATAGTAATACAAATGTGTATTAAAACAGGATGAACCCAGATATTTTATGTTCAATTTACATGGGAATCAGTACCAGAAAATTTCAGTTCTCTCAGATTGTAAGATCTGTCGCTATACCTTGCCATTTTCTTATCTCTAAAACATAAATGTATCTCTGTAGCATATGCCAGTTAATTTCTTTGGTTATATAGATACATATATGTTTTAGGTTAGAATTTTAGTGAACTGTAAGGCAATTCACACATGAGCTCTGTTTTTTGGTCCTCTATTAAATATTTATTTTTACTATAGGTACAAAAGGAAGTTACCTCTGTGACGTCCTGGATGTAAACATTGGATTTGGGAGAGAATAACCAGTTGAAATTTCTGCTGTATTTAATGGATATGTACTTTTTTCCCTTTTACTTTTGTATATTCTTGTATATATCATGTAATTTAGTTTCTGGAATTTTGATTTTTTTTTTTGTTTTAATAAAGACTAATACAAACTTAACAATGATTAAAAGTGCTTGGGTATTATAGCTTTTCATTTTACACCTGTTATCTATATCATACATAGCTTATTGCTTTTTTCTCCTCAACAGATAATTCATAATCTCCTTTGCATTGTATCATTTTGAAAATAGTTTATGTTTAATGTGGAAAAACAGGGAGATCTGATTTGCTTGCTTATTTGAAGTAAATACATTTTAATAGATTTACTTTCCTTTTTTTCCTCATTTTCTTTTTTGAGCTTTTTTTTTTTTTTTTTCAATTTTTGCATAGAAGAGCTGAGTGTAGGCCAGAGATGTGGGGGTGAGGGGGGTGAGAGGATTCACCAGAGACAGAGTGGGAACAGAACAGGCAGACTGACTGAAGTACACTGCTGAGGGGAGCAGCGGGCAAGTCAGGAGAGGTCTGCTACACCATGTGGGTAGCTCCCTGGCCGGGGATCGAACTTATGGTGCAGTGGCTGCAGACAGCTTTATAGGTCATGTCTCAACTCCTTGCGCCACCAGGGAGGCCCTTACGAGTTATTCTTAACAAATGAGGGATTTCCTCCTACTTTTGTTGAATGACTGCCAGATTACACAGTCATACCTTTTGGGTGTGAAAAATGATTGTGTGGTTGTGAACCATACTCCATTGAATCTTCATGTGTAATTATATTCCAAAGGCTAATATCAACTATTTAGTTAAGTAGATTTTTGGTTTATGTAGTCTGTTGTCTCTCCAAATGAAAAATATGGAATTAACTATATTTCTTGAGAAATTTAATTAAAAGGTAGTTTTTATGGATTCATTGTTTAGAATTCTATTTATAGTTCCTTGTATGATATGCTTTTCTCCTTGAAACAAATTTGTATTCTAAGATTGAACATTTTGTTTTTGGTTATTGGGTGTAACTTTGATTGAGAATATATTTATTTCAACCTGTATTAGACCCTAAGCAGCATAATGTGGGGGGCCTTAAATATGGCTTTGAAAACTAACCCATTTTATTATACTGATTACTTATTTTTTATCAAGGTTTTAAAAAATGATTAAGTATTAATTTTTGAAAAGGTTTTGTCAGTTCTATTATATATTTTTAAATGTTTAAAAGTTAGAGAAAATGTACACATTTCTATGAATCAGTGGCTTAATACAAAATAAACATTTGCCAATTTCTCAGGGATAGTTGGAAAATTAATCAGGCTAACTCTTCACAGTTAAATCCATGACATTTTGAGCATTATACTTTAAAATGACATGATCAACTGGAAAAATAAAATATTTCACTGCCTTTTTAATGCCATCCTCACCTACTCTCATTCTGTGTATTTAGATAAGAAAAAAATTAATTATAGGTGTATCAGTCTTCTCAAACTGTCATAAAATACCACAGACTGGATTAAACAACAGAAATTTATTTCTCACAGTTCTGAAGGCTAAAAGCATAACATCAAAGTGCTTGCAAGTGAGGCTTCATTCTGAGGAAGATTCCCTTGGTTTGCAGATGGCTGCCTTTTCACTGTGTGCTGACTTGACCTCTGTGTGCAGGTGTGTGGGAAGAAAGATCTTATATAGGCCACTGTTCCTAGAAGATTAGGATCCTCTCCCCCATGACCTCATTTAGTCTTATTTCCTAGAGGCCCCATCTCTAAATATAGTCACACCTGAGGTTTAGGGTTTTAACAGATGAGTTTTAGGAGAACACAATTCAACCCATAGCAACTGGTGAGCACTGTTTAAAGAAAATGTGATGTATAAAAATCTACATGTATAAAATTTATCTTTGACATAAAAGAGAAAAGAACCAGATGCAATCTTTGTTGGTCAGCCATTTAATATACATCATCACATTTCACCATCCGTGAGATGGTGTTATTCTTATTTTTATAAGTAACTATTGAAAGTGGTGAAGTTAGAATTCATACAAATTTATCTCTTGTCTTTGTGTTCTTGTCAATGTGGCAGCATGAAGGGGCCTCTTATTTCCAAAAGCAGTCAGTCTGGATCCCTTTAAAAAGTAGGTTTCCAAATAAAAAAAATTTTATTTGCACATTCCTGTCTGTTCATTTTTATGTGTTTCCTCTTGTGCATGGCCTTCACATTTTGTAGTGTTTTTATTCTGGTTATGGGAGACAAAATGAATAAATAGATGAGAAGACACTCTGAAATTTATTATTTAATGTATATTTATGAAATTGTGCTCTTCCCTCCCCTGTTCGACCCTTCCCCCTCCATCTCCCCTGCAGAATGTCTCTGCTTTATATTTGCCTGTTGATCTGGGTTTTTATTTATTGTCGTTATTTTTTTTTTCTGCTCCCTTATTTGGTTCCCCTTATTTGGTGAAACCATCTGATATTTTTCTTTTTTTCCTTTTGACTTAGTTCACTGAGCATAATCACTTCTAGCTCCATCCATGTTGCTTCAAATGGCATGAGTTTATCTTTTTTGATTTCTGAATAGTAGTCCATTATGTATATATACCACATCTTCTTGATCCAGTCATTTATTTTTGGGCATTTGGGTTGTTTCCATATCTTAACTATTATCAATAGTGCTGCTATAAACATAGGGATGCAGGTATCCTTTTTGAATTAATGTTTTTGTGTCCTTTGGGTAGATTTGTAAGAGTGGAATTGCTGGACCAGATGGTAACTCCATTGTTAGTAGTTTGAGGAACCTCCAGACAGCTTTCTATAGAGGCTGGACCAGTTTGCATTCCCACCAGCAGTGCAGGAGAGTTCCTTTTTCTCGACATCCTCGCCAACATTTGTTGTTGCCAGTTTTTTTTTTTTTTTTTTTTTTTAGTATGTGCCATTCTCACTGGTGTAAGGTGGTATCTCATTGTGGTTTTGATTTGCACTTCCCTGATTATAAGTGATGTTGAACATTTTTTTCATATACCTGTTGATTATTTGCATGTCCTTTTTGGGGAAGTGTTGTATTAGCTCTTCTGCCCATTTTTTGACTGGATTACTTTGTTTTTGTTGAATCATGTGAGTTCTTTGTATATCTTTGTGATTAGTCCCTTATCAGTTGTATGGAGTACAAAATTTTCTTCCAGTCAGTAAGGTATCTCTTTGTTTTGGTTAATGCCTCTTTTGCTATATAGAAACTTTTTAGTTTGACATAATCCCAGCTGTTCATCTTTTCCTTCACTTTCTTTGCTTTGGGGATGAGTCTTTGAAGATATTACTAAGATGTATGTCATGTAGTGTTTTACCTATATTTTCTTACATATATTTTATGGTTCCAGGTCTTATGTTCAGTTCTTTTATCCATTTTGAGTTGGTTTTGTGTATGGTGTGAGGTAGTAGTCTAGTTTCATTCTTTTGCATGTGGTGGTAGTTTTCCCAGCACCATTTATTGAACACACTGTCCTTGTTCAATTGCATATTCTTTGCTTCTCTGTGAAAAATTAGTTGTTCATATATGTGTGGCTTTATTTCTGGGTCTATTCAATTCCATTGGTCTGTGTGTCTTTTTTTGTTCCAGCCATAATTATTATGGCTTTGTAGTATAGTTTGAAGTCTGGGAGTATTGATACCTTTATTCTCCTCCTTTATGGTCAGGAGAGCTTTGGCTATTTGAGGTTTCTTGTGGCTCTATATGAATTTCATCAGTATTTGTTCTATGTCTTTGGAAAATGTCATTGAGATTTTTATCAGGATTGCATTGAATCTGTAAATTGCCCTTGATAGGAAGGTCATTTTAATAATATTAATTCTTCCAATCCACAAACAGGGTATGTCTTTCTATTTCTTTGTGTCTTCTATTTCTTTTAACAGAAATTTTTATAATTTTTATAAAATTATAATTTTCTTTGTATAGGTCACTCACATCCGTGGTTAAGTTTATTTCCAGGTATTTGATTTTTTTTTTTTTTCAGTTGTAAATGGGATGGTCTTAACTTCTTCCTCTTTATATTGATTGTTTGCATATAGGAAGGCTACTGATTTTTGGCTGTTGATTTTTGTCACCTGCTACTTTACTAAACTGCTTTATTGTTTTAATTAGTTTTTCCATGGAATTTTTAGGGTTCTCTGTATTATCATATCATCTGCAAATAATGATAGTTTTATTTCTTTCCCTATTTGGATTCCTTGTATGTCATTCTCTTGCCTAATTGCTCTGGCTAGGACTTCCAGTATTAAATAGAAAAATGGTCATGAGAGTAGACATCATTGTCTTGTTCCATGTCTTAAAGGAAAGGCGTCAGTTTTTCACCATTAAGAATGATGTTAGCTGTGGGTTTGTCATATATGCCTTTTATTGTGTTAAAGTATGTTTTTATACCAAGTATTTTGTGGGTCTTTATCATAAGTGGATGTTGAACTTTATCAAATGCTTTCTCAATATCTATTATATGATCATATAGTTTTTACTTTTCTTTCCATTGATGTGTGGGAGAGATCCTATATGTTTAAAACAATAATATAATTTAAACCAATGTTATCTCAATAAAAATTTTCTTTTTCCACTTATTTTGGATAAACTTTTTAAGTTCTCTGACATTTTTTATTTTTACTCATTAAATTATCTCACATAATTATTTGACATAAGTGTCTATATTGACCTGGTTATTAAGAAAATAAATGTTCAACACTGAATTTCCTATACTATTGATACCTGGGAGATTATTAGGATGCTATAAGGAAGCAGGGGATGAATGTTGGGTAAGCAAAATATGACAAGTGTTTCCCATGCCCAGTTCATTTTTTCTCAGAGTAGCACACCAGCTGTCATTTCCTTGGTTGGCCTTTAAGTGAGCTATTTTATAAAGTTGTGGCCAGCCTTAATGCATTTCAAAGTAAAATATAAATGACTTACCAAATATCTGTTATTCTGAATTATTTATGCCACCACTTCTTTGTGTTTGTACAAACTAGATCTGATCATAGAACATGACTTTATTGAATCATTAGACAAAACTTTGACACTACATTTATTAACCAGTACTTCTCCAGCATCAATCTTACTTACTATTGTGCAGGTCCTATGGAAGATAGACGTAAGGGTAAGATGTGATTATTGCTTTCTTAGATGTTTAGAATCAAAAACAGGAAACAATACAATAAATAATATAAAATAAAGTTAGTAACATAAAAGTGCATAATAAAAATTATGTCTTAAGTACATGGAGGTAGCATGGTTGAAAGCATAACTTGTGGTAATGGGAGAGGAGCTAGGTGCAGTGTGTAATCTAAATCTTGAAAGGATATATATATATATATAAAAATATAAATAAATATAAATATAAATATATATATATATATATATATGGGAGAGCTACAGAGACCACACCTGAAGGAAAAAATCATATATATATATATATATATATATATATATATTACCTGGGAAAGATACATTGGGGGTGTGGCAACTAGTTGATCTATGTCCAAGCTATCTTAATCTAAATTACAGTTTTTAGGGGGAGAGGGGAGAGCACAATGGCTATGGTGGAGGACTATGGTGCTTTGGTGGTGGGAGAGCTATAGAGACCACACTTGAGGGAAAAAATCCTATATTGTCAAAATATTAATGACTATATAAAGCAATGGTACTTCATTAATTAAAAAAGTAAATAAAAAATTACAAAATTCATTTGTTTCAATGGGTCTACCAGTTTTCTTTGGTGCTGTATCCAGATCTGACCCCTGGCCCATGGTCCTGCAGGATACCCATGTGGCGTTGGTGCTACAGTGTAGCTATTTGTATACTACATTCAGCTTAATTAGTAATTTAATTATTTACATATATTTTTCTTTATAAAACAATGTCAAAATACCTGAGGGATTGATTACTCTTTGTTGCAGACTGCTGAAGGCAGCTTTCCCACCAAATGGATTTAATATGTCTGGTTGACCTAGGTTTACCAGCTGGTCTGTTGTGTCATCAGTATGCTTGAGGAAGATTCTTAGGTGCACAAGCAGTTGAGATAAATTAAAATCCCTAACACAGACTAACTTGGATATTTTAAGTTTTAGAAGTTTAGTATAGGCCACAAAATTGTGTCAACATTTAATTCTGCATGTGCAAACCAGAAAATTTAGTAGTCCTACTTAAAACAGCCTTTATTTTTTTCTCCTCTTTAAAAATTGCATGCATTTTATGGGGGATGTGTGTGAAAAGGGGAATAGAGAGGATTATGTGATGATGAGGGGTTTACAATCAGAAAATGATACCAGTGATGAAATGTGGGTTTTCCTTCAGTCATAAGGTCTTGGATACATACAGGTGTTTGCTTGAGAGAAGAAATAAACACCAGAAATAAGGAGTGTAATTTCAATTTTATTGTTTGGAATCTACAATTGGAAAAGTGGTTTGCTGTTATTTCTTAATACCACATTATACAAAACATGCATACATATTTAGGGTACTTTAAAAAAGTTCCTGAAAAATTTATATGCATATAGAATTTTTATTATCTCAGGATAAAAAATATATCCTAAGTGCATCTTCTCTAATTTCCTTTTAAAATCTTATTGACATTTGTTTACTTATAGGTATTCTGAATATGCATAGAATGAAGGCCTTATTTTGCTGCAACAACTTTTATTAAAAGGTTATGAAATTTAAAAGTATATTTTATATTAAAGATACTTAGTATTTGTAAACATTGAGACAAACATACCCCCTTTGCTCAACTATTTTTAAGGTAAAGGCTCCCATTGATTTCTTGAGTCATTCCTGCTCAGCAGATTCATATGCTTACCAATTTAAGCAAATATTTGTTCTTTGAGTATAAATTATTTCATCAGTCTGATATTTCTTGAACACCTACTCAGGTACCCATTCCTAGTGAGTTCTCTGCCCTTGAGAATGACTGAGTGATTATTCAGATTCGGAGGCAGAGCTGACTTCAATCATGTCTCCCTTCTAGATTTCCCAAAGTGTGGTGGTGGTGATGGATGCAATGTGCATGTGTGTGTCTGTGTGTGTGTGTCTGTGTGTGTTGGTGAGGGTATATGGGGAGTGTGTGACTAAAATAAATACAGTGCTAGCATGTGGCTAGGGAGGGACCCATGTAGGTTTAGAATTGCACCTTGTCATAGAAACTCATGACATCTTCACATTAGGAAGAAAGAAGGAACAACATAGAAGTAGAACTGAAGGAATCTCTTAAAATTATTTAGTTTTTGCATAGAAGAATTGGGGTGCAGGCCAGAGGTGTGGGTATTGAGAGGACTCACCAGAGACAGAGTGGGGAGCAGAACAGGTGGACTGACTGAAAACACTGCTGAGGGGAGCAGTGAGTGACACAGGAGAGGTCTGTGCCATGTGGGCAGCTCCGTGGCCAGGCATCGAACTCAGGCCACAGCAGTGATAATGCTGAGACTTAACCCATAGGCCACCAGGGAGGCCCCTCGAAATTATTAATGGCTAATACCATGCATCCATCACTGTGCTGCCACTCCTTAGCAAATAGTTATTTTACAAATCTAAATGCCCTTTAATTCCTTTATATAATGTAAATCAGACCAGGATGTCCTATTCTTTCCTTTGACTGTTGTTTGCAGCCTTAGTCTTTTCCATTATCTGCTGTACCATTCGTTTCCTGATTCATCAAAGGCATATGGTGACACGAGAGAAAGTTTAGTGTATTAAAATCGCTATAACAGTAGGAGCTAAAAAGGAAAAAAAAAAAAATATATATATATACATACCAGAAATAAAGCAGAGACTTGTCATCCATGAATTAGGAGCCATTGATAGTTTGGTGGGTCATTAAATAATCATTCCAAACATCAACTGGATATAGTCGAAAGAGTGCTGGATTCCAGGTCAGGAGACTTAGGTACAGGTCTTAGGCCTGTCACTTTTAGCTATATGGCCTTGAGCAAGTCTACTCTTTTTGAACTTCAGTTCCCTCATCTGACAAATGGGAAATACACCTGTCTTGCCTACCAAAGTTATGGGCATCAAACAAGATAATGTGCTTAAAACTCTCTTGTAAGTGATAAAACTCTATGTAAATATAAATTGGTGGTGGATGAGAAGGGATCTAAAGAGAAAAATAATTTCTATGGTTTAAAATTATTAATAAAGTTTTTATTAAAATGTACACATGTAAACGAAAGATGGCTGGCCCTCTTCTTGGAGGGGGGACCATTTTAATTTCTTTTCCTGTACGTTCACTAAGTTGCTGATCCTGGGAGATTATTTCAGTGTCTTCATTTACAAACATCTAAGCGCAGCTTCTAGGAGCTGAGGATGGTCTGCGCCATCACATAGTCAGTTCCTAAAAGGCAGACTTAAATATCACTTGCAAAATGCAGTCCCACAGATTAATGGCAAGGAGAAGTTTTGGCTACAGGTATAAAACAATGCTCACTACCAAAAATGAAAGAAATATTAGAGAGAGGTTTCCATGGCAATGACTTCCTGCAGAAAACTTGATCCGACCTTCAACTGCTGGATAAACGACTTTCATTTTTGAGATGTATCCAGAAACCACATTGATATCTTGATCACCTAGAAAAATACATACACTATTTTAACTGTAGAAAAAGTAATTATTAATGAACAGTAAGAGGGGAGAGACCAAGTCAATGTATTTCTCTAAGGTCCTTTGCAATTGTATGAGTGAAGATACTCCCCTCATAAGCAGGAATAATGTGTCACAGAGGGTAAGACTAGCGGTGATCCTAAGCACAAAGAATTAGATTGCTTTTTCATATTCTAGTTGTGAAGTGTGCCTGTTGGCCCACATTGGACGTCATTGGGAGGAACAGGGTGATCTCAGTTCTGAGATGACTCAAGAAAGAGGTCATTGATATTACAGCTCTGAACGAGGAGTCTAGGGAACTGGATCAATTAGTTGAGACCTAAAAATGGTTTCCTGTTGCTTGCCTGGTATTTCCACATGACTGATGGTGAGACAATGGAGGCTTCATTTCCAAAAGAGGAGCGATAACTACTAATTGTCTATAACTACAACAAACCCACAGGGACCTGACAGAATTTTATTTAAAAAAAAATCTCACTGCAGTAGTTCTTGCCTCTGAGTGTACATTAAAATCACTGAAAGTGACTTTTGTGCCAACACATTTGTATTAGAATCTCTTAAAAGTTGGGGCCCACTCATGTATTTAATTTAAAATGCTTCCCAAGTGATTCTACTATGTAGCCAGGTTGAGAACTCTTAGGCCCAAGGCTTCCTCCATTTTCTGTATGAGCTGCTTCTCTCCAACACCCATTAGCCTGAGCTTGGGTGCTGCACAGCCATCAGCCTCTTTGCCCTGTCTCCTATCATGCAATGGACAGAAGTAGTCAGCACCTGTCCTCCTGGAAAAATCTGTCTCCTTTGCCCTGGCTCTGCTCTCCACCCTCCTGGAAATAAGCAGCTAAAACGAGAGGCCACCGTGATCGGGCTGAGGAGGAACCTGTATGCACTCTCTCCTGTTTATGCAGAGAAGTGGTGCCTGTCTAGTAAGCATGCTGGTTTCTAGAGCCCTGGAGAAGAGGGAGGTGTAGTGTGTTCTGTCAGTGAATTTTATGCACATTTAGGTGGTTCTCAATCCAGTTTTTAAAGGTGAGGCTTGGGTATAATGACCCTTACCACTGCTGAAACTATTGACTGTGATCAAGTATGGTGGTTCCTATAATTTTTTTACAGCCAGGGATTATGCTAAGTGAAATAAGTTAGGAGCTAAATATTGAGTGCCTTCATTTATATGTGGAATATAAAGAAACCAAATAAGGGACCAGACAATGACAAACCGTGAAAGTTGGCCATAGATCTGAGGCAGCCAGGAGGGGTTGGGGAAAGGGGTGAAGCTGGGGTGTGGAGGAAGAATATAGGAACTATGGTGATGGACTCTGGGTGCTTTGGTGCTAGAACTACAGTGACTGCACCTGAGGGGAGAAATCATATAGTGTCCAAAAATTAGCAATGATGGAAGGAAAAAGGTATTTCATTTAAAAATAAATTTAGAGCTTTCTGGCAGTGACGACCTCCCCATGAGAACATGCCTCTCGCGAAGGATCTCCTTCATCCCTCTCCATAAGAAAAGAGGAGACACAAGAAGAAGCGCCTGGTGCAAAGCCCCAATTCCTATTTCACGGATGTGAAATGCCCAGGATGCTATAAAATCACCACCGTCTTTAAAGCCATGCACAAATGGCAGTATTGTTTGTGTTGGCTGCTCCACTGTCCTCTGCCAGCCTATAGGAGGAGAAGCAAGGCTTACAGAAGGACGCTCCTTCAGACGGAAGCAGCACTAAAAGCACACTGAATCCAGATGAATGAGAAATCATCCTAGTAAACAAGTTTTGAATAAAAAATAAAAATAATTTATAAATGAAAAAAATTGTTACACCAAGTAAAAAAAATAATTTGTCTTATCAACTCACTGTGCTGAAGGGGGAGGGCATATCCCACACACTCCTAGCTGACCTAGTTACACTAAAAGCTTCTTCAAGAAAATTTAGATCATTTAATATGGTGGTTTTCATGTCCAGTCTAAGAGGCGCAATTTTTCTGTAGGTGCAAAATTCTATTTCATGATTTAAGTAACTGTATATATGTACTTAAAAGAGTTTCAAATTTGATCCAAAAATGTTTCTTCCTTGGACTTGGATGGCCGGCGCTGTGTGTTGGAGGGAGTCAGCCACACAGGGGCTGTAGGTGGGTTCTGGCTTTGCCCTCCTGGCACCACAAGTAGCTCCCCTCTTCTGCCTACTTCTGTCGACCTCAAGTACCTTTGGGTCAGGGAGAAGAGAGAATTGCGCTCACCAGAGTCATGCTTTATTACTTCATCTTTTATCATCTTGAATCCATCTCCACCATTGGCAAGGAAACTTGGGAGGATCACCTTATACAACTTGTGCATCTCAAGAGGCTCGTACTTGGGCACTCGACACTGGGTGCAAAGTACATCTAATTTGACCACTCTGTCCCCAGGATTTCGGGAAAGATCATAAACCACGTGAATTCCTAGAAAAGAAATGAATCCATATGTTTTCACTGGAACCGAAGTGAAAATTTCTGTTTCCTTAAAAAGGGATTTGGGCCCAAATCTGGAATTGGAGCACTGGGCTTGGTTTTTGTTTAGTTCAAGCTTGAATAAAATTTCATCAAGAGAATAGAGGTGCATTGCAGCTAACCCCCTCTTGATTTAGGTTTATCCTTGAGTTCCTCTGGGAGGTCTGAGAACCACCAGGAAGAAAACTGGCTCTGGCGCCAAATGGGCTAGGAGTGACTCTGTAGGGATTAACCACAACTTTTAAAAATCTTGAACAAATTGGACCAGCAACTTGGTTCAGTGACTTTGGAAAATGAGAAATAGAGAGACACAGAACTCTTGTTAAAATTGTGAAGACTACTAAATGGTAGTGATCTGGGTCTGTGTCACTTTGACAAAACACAGCTACCCGGCACTGTTAGGACATCAAGCCCTATGGATCCTTCAAAGTATTCTTGGAAAAAGTGTAAAATGTCTGCGTTTACCCTACAGGCAGCAGACTGGGGCTCCTCTTCTGTGACCCCTCAATCTCAACGGTGGAGTGTTCTGTAGAGGGAGGTCTCAGCAAGGCGACGCTGCCCATCAGTGGGGCTGTGGTCTAAAGTCAAAAGGTGTGGCCGTATGCGGTGTCAAAGTAAAATAAGATTACTACATTAAGGGCTAGGTTGCTGTACACTGGAGTTAATCATTGCCAAAAGTGTTCTGGAAGTCCTTGTGACTTGGGACGCACATATTTTCATTTAATTTTTCACTGCAACCCAGGTTTTCTCACTGAGCTCAGAGAGGTGGAAGATGTGCCCTAGGTCACAACGGAACCAGAACCAGGTGCTCCTGGCACCTATAAGGCAGGCTACCCCGCGCAGAAATCATCTTTTGTTAATACTGATTGGACACTTTGTTCTTTTGAACCTCTGCCTGCTTCCAGGCTATTATGAATAGAATTTTTTTTTTTTTACAAAGAATAGTGAATGTTTAAACAATTAAGATTTAAACAGAAATGAGATGAAATCTCAAGGCAGTTGACTTGCATAGAATTTGGAGTTCAGCTCCAGAGAGAATCCATTTGCAGTCCAAACCAGACTCAGCAAGTATTGCTGTTTGCCAGAGCCTGGGGCTTTGACCTGACCTCAGCCCAGAGGTGTGGTTGAAAGGTTATGCATTGCGTTGGGTGGGAGAAAAGTCAAGCCAGCCTGGCCACAGAGTGGGAGACCTTAGCTTACGAGCAGGAAACCCTGGATGGTGACTTACCGCCCACCTGCAGGAACTCTCCGCTGGACTGGCCGTGTCGGTGCACGCTGTGCTCAAAGGCCTTCTTCAGGGTGGAGCCTTTTAACTGGACCAGGTCAAAGGTGCCTCCAAAGGGTAGCACAGCAGCCAGGTTCTCCCATGTAATTGTGCCTGAGGGTAGTCACAGGTGAGGCAAGAAGGAAAAGAGTTGAGAACAAGCTGGCCCCAGAGCAGTTTCCCTTAGGATGGGAGGAGAGGGGCGGGAGACACAGGGGCTTGGGGGACTATTAGGGCAGCATCAGCTGTGTTACGGGGTTTCTGATACCCAGGAGGGAATGGATTCAAGAAGTCTCTACCAATGGACAGGCTGGTGGGAACTTATAAAAGGCTGTAGTTCCAAATCAGGGTTCTCTGGCTTGGATCTCCTGGCCCGAGGCTGGATCTCCAGTGGGTGCCACTATGAGATGAGCCTGGGCTTATATGCTAAGACTGGGGCTTTGGTGTGAATGTGGTGTAGTAGTGCACATTTGAAGAGGTGTGAATTTTTTTTTTTTTTAGAGGCACGTTTTATTTATTTATTTATTTGTTTGTTTGTTTTGTTTATACATGCACTGGGTACAGTCAGAAGCGCGGGAGGGTGAGAGAATTCACCAGAGCCAGAGTGGGGAGCAGAGCAGGCAGAAGGACTGAAGTACACTGCTGAGGGGAGCAGCGGGTGGCAGGAGAGGTCTGCGCGCCATGTGGGACCCTCCTCCGGTGGCCGGGGAGCAGCTGGGGATCGAACTGGCGCCGCAGAGGCTGCGGGCAGCTTTGCAACCCAGCGCTCAACCACTGCGCCACCGGGGAGGCCCGAAGAGGTGTGAATTTTTACTTCTGAGTCATACAGTGTTGTAGATCAATTTGCTTCAATAAAAAAATAATATGTGACAAAACCAGAATGGGGAGAAAAAAAAAAGACTGGATTTGCCAGTATACCACGGAGGACTACAAGAAAGCTTGGTTGTCTACTTGGTGTGTTTTAGTGTATGATATAAGTCTGGGATATCTGCGAATGCACTAAAATAATTTAATCCACGAGCTTGCTTTTCCACGAGGAGATTTCCAGTACAGTATTGTCTTTCTCTTTCCAGAGATCAACGTGGAGGCTGTCGATAATTTGCATAAATCAGCACCAATCAGTTTGTAGTTCTGTGAGTTAGAAGTTTAGATCAGACTTAGGCCCCACTAACCCTAGCTGTGGCCTCTGTGTGCAAACACGTAAGAGAATACCCAAGTATGTGTGTGCCCTTGGGGGTGGACACTGACAGTAGTTAGCCCAAACTGAAAGAATTGGCATGATGGTGTGTGGCTGGCCGAGGAGATGAGCGAAGGAGACGTGTCAGAGGGGGCCAGGCTGAGCTTGGGACCCCAGCCCCTGGCAGCCCACCATTGTTGCGTTCGTCAATGGGAGACCGAATGGAGCCTCCATTTAAAATGCACATGGACACGTGGTTCCAGACCAGTTCATCTGGGTGTCTAAGGTTGTTGTTAATCTGCAATGAGAGAGTACAAATTTATATTAGTTATGCTGGGTCTTCTTCCTTCATAGCAGTTTCAGGAAGTTGGCTAGTTCTACTGAGGAAAGAGCTGTTTTCCCCTGCTCCTGCTTTCCTAGAAATTTCTCAAGAAAACCCTTGAACAAAATGGGGTTTTACTGCACAGGTACGCTTGTATTCAGATTTTTTTTTAACCCCTCCTCCTCCTCCTGCTGCTGAGCCTACTCAATATGAAGATGATGAGAAGGAAGACAATTATGATGATCCAGTTATGATGTTTTTAGTAACATTTTCTTTTCTCTGTTCTTTACTTTGTTCTAGGGTACAGTATGTAATACAGATAACATACTAAATGTGTGTTAACTGTTTATGTTATGGGTGTGGCTTCTGGCAACATCATGCTATTAGTTATTAAGTTTGGGGGAAGTCGGGCCTCCCTGGTAGCGCAAGGGGTTACGACACAACTTATGTAGCAATCCGCAGCCACTGCAGCACAGGTTCGATCCCCGGCCAGGAAGCAACCCACATGGCACAGAAGACCTCTCCTGATAACGCCTGCTGCTCCCCTCAGCAGTGTATTTCATCAGTCTGCCTGTTCTGCTCCCCACTCTGTTTCTGGTGAATCCTCTCACCCCCCCACACCTCTGGCCTGTACCCAAGTTCTTGTATGCTTAAATAAATAAATCTTTAAAAAAAAAGTTTTGGGGAAGTCAAAATTTATACAAGGATTTTTGATTACATGGATTGGTGGGTGGCTGTCCTTTATTCCTAATGCCAGCATTGTTCAAGGGTCAGCTGCAACTAGAACTAGTTTTATGCTATGAGTAGCAAAGATCACGACTGTGACCAGTCCTCTGTCAGATTCTTAGAAGCTAGTAGCTCTTAGCTTCCTCTCTTAAGACCCTGTGCTCCCAGAGTAGTGGGCTCTGGTGTCAGCAGGGTCCTGCCGTGGGGTCCGACCTGCCCTGCGGTGCTACTGCTCCTCCACCACGTCCCCTCAGGTAGCCTGAAAGCCTTTCAACTCCAGACCTCAGGCCAACAAGAATCCGGCCTCCACATCTAGGTCCCCAACCAATTTCCATGTTGGCAATTTTGAGAGGCAGTTTTCTAAAATTGAGGAGCATCAAGTATGCTTACAAATACATATTTAGTTACAAGAAATAAAATAAATACTTTCCATGTGGAAAAAAGAAAGTGCAAAAGCATGTCTTTTATACTTGTCCAGTCTCTTAACAAAGAGTTAAGGACCTCTAGCAATCTGGAGTGTTTCTTTCCAAACCTTTCTCTAAACACTTACATACTGGTTTCTCTTTAGCAACTTATCTCACTGGTTGCAGGATGCCCAGGAGGCAAGCTTGGCCTGGCCTTAGAAAGTATGTAAGTTGTGGCTGTATCCCTGGTTCCAAGCTGAGCAGCAAGAAATGGTCCCCTGTGTGTGGGCTTTGAGGCTGTGGGAGAGACGAGACTGATGGTGACAGAATTGGCTCATCATGGAGCCTGCCCTGTCCATGGGCAACCAAATGGCACCTCCACTTAAAATGCACATGGATATATGTTTCCAGGACCACAGCCACTCCCTTTGCAGACAAGTGGGCACAGAGGCAATTTTCATGGGTGATCTTGCTCCACCATGGGTCCTCCTGTTTTCATAATAACTGTATGTTGTCATTCCTTGCTTGGGGAGGAGATTTTAGCCACACACGTCTGGAGCTAAGAACACAGGTCAGTGCAGAAGAGTCTGGCCTAGGCAGATGTGTTTTATGGACTGTGTCTATCTCTTTGGAGTAGCAGAGTTTGTGTATTCACATTATTTTATAAAAGGAAGCAACATCCACAATTCAGGCAGCTAAGATAAACATCTTAAAGGCTTCTGTCTTGTAAAGCAATCAAGTGATTGCCAGCTGACCTAGTTCGGACCCGATCTTAAGGCACTCAGTGTGAATCCATGTCCAGATTTTGTGTGGATATGGATTTTTAAAAAAATTGATTTTTAACTGAGGTAATATTGGGGTGTCTCCATTGGGTATTGCCACCATAGACCACCCACCACAAACTCACCCATATCCCACCACCATAGAACATTGTGCTTCTTTCCTTCTTTGTTCTCCATCTCCCCCATTGTCTCCCCTCTGATGGTGTCTCTGTTGGTCTGAATCAGCTATCAAGGGTTAGTTTTTCAGCTTGTCTTTATCTATCTAGTTACTTTATATTGTACACATTAGCAACGCCATTAAGTATTTATCTTTCTCCTTCTGACTTATTTCACTTAGCATTATGCTTTCAGACTCCACCCATGTTGGCACAAATGGCACGAGTTTATATTTTTGATTTCTGAGTAGTATTCCCTTGTGAATATATACCCCATCTTCTTGATCCACTTATCTGTTCTGGGGCACTTAGGTTGTTTCCTGAGTTTAGCTATAGTCAGTAGTGCTGCAATAAACATGGGAGTGCAGGTTTCCTTTCAAACTAGTGTCCTTAAAATTTTTTTTGATAGATGCCTAGGATTAGAATTACTGGGTTGGATGGTAGATCCATTTTTTTTTTAAAAGATTTGTTTATTTATTTATACAAGCACTGGGTACAGTCAGAAGCGTGGGAGGGTGAGAGAATTCACCAGAGCCAGCGCGGGGAGCAGAGCAGGCAGAAGGACCAAAGTACACTGCTGAGGGGAGCAGCGGGCGGCAGGAGAGGTCTGCACGCCATGTGGGACCCTCCTCAGGTGGCCGGAGAGCAGCCAGGGATTGAACCAGTGCTGCAGAGGCTGCGGGCAGCTTCGCAACCCAGTTCTCAACTGCTGCGCCACTGGGGAGGCCCGGTAGATCCATTTTTAATGTTTTGAGACACCCCCATACTGCTTTCTATAATGGGTATGGATTTTTTAAAGATTGTCAATTCTGTAGCTACCAGTTCACCCCTCTTTGCACCCTCCCTGGCCGCCCATCCCGGCAGAGGCCCTCCATCCCCAGTGGGCTGCTCACCATGGCATCACAAATCAGGTTGCCCATGTTGCATTCTGTGAAGCGGCAGGATTGAGTGGTGCCATCCAGATAGACGATTGTTTTCCCCAATTCCTGGGTGGAATAATTATCTAATTTTATCCTCCATTTGTTAATTTCTGCTTTTATGGTGGGATCTAGTTGAAAGGGGGGGAAAAAAGCTTGCTATTGAAGCAGATATCACAGTGCTCCTTCTCTTTTGGAGAAGGCATCAGGCATCATTTAGCTTAGTATATGTTTCTTTGCCATATTTCTGTACAAGTTGGTTTTGATTGTGAAATTTCTTTAGGAACCTCTATTTTGTTTCCCGGTAATAAGACCCAGAATGGCTCTTAATTTAAAAATTTGTTCCGAGGAGCCTAACACCAACTAATTACAATCTTGTGATTTCTACCTGGGATGTGCTAGTGGTGGTGACTGGGAGGCCAGGGCCGGCATAAAGGGCCGACTCAAGTCTCTGGGCCTCCTTCCAGCTGCGCAGAGGCCTGTTTTGTGACCACAGGCTCTCAGGGCAGATGGCACCTCACCACCCATCTCCCCTCACCCCTGATGGTAAACAGGAAAAAGGCAGGTGGAAGCAGCATAAGAGATGTTCATGTTCATTTTTACTCTGAACCCAGACAAGAGTAAGACAGGCTTTCCCTCACTTGATAAATAAACAAACCCTCGAGACCAGGTGGCTTGCCCCAGGCATGACTGCTCCTGGTTGGGGGAGGGCAGGGGTGCGCCTTGCTCTGCCCAATCTGAACCCCTAGCTTCAGTATCGGTGCTCCTCTGTCATGAGCTGAGTGTGGCTTTCCCAGGCTGGGGTCAAGCTTGAAAAAGAGCAAGAAGCCACGACACAGTGTTCGATGCTGAGAGAACTTGGAGAAGGCAATTGGAATTGGGTGTATTTTTAAATCTCTGTATCCATGAAGAGGGTGGATTCAAGGAAGAAGGTAAAATTCTTCAAAAGTATTACAGTCTTATCCTGAAACAGGAACCAGGTCAAGCCACAATAAAAATTCCAGAATGAGGTGATGGAACATTCCCCAAATTTCACATACCTTCAGGAATGCTGCTGTTGAGAAGAATGGGATTTCCATGTGAAGTGACGACATTTCCCTTGTCATCAAACTCAACCTTCAAGTAGCCGAGATACTTGCCAAAGGCATAGGCCTGGACCACGGGAACCTTCCTTCCATCATCAGAGGTGACTATGAATGGGTAGTTCCCAACAGGCACCTCTTTGGAAGGTGGAGTGCCTAAAATGAGAGGGCCAAAGCTGATCAAATCAGCCCTTGTACGCGGCTGGCTGTGGTCCAGCAGGCTGCTGGCCAGATGACAGTGAATTTTAAATTGATGATTTGCCAGCTGCCGCTTTACATAGCCCGTCTTTCAGAGCCTTGCTGGGGCATCTGCCTCTGTTTCTGAATGTCCTTCTGGCATGTGAATCCTTCCGTTCTCGACTCCACGGGCCTTTACGAGGCTCTTCCTAAGTTCAGGGCACCGTGCCTGGTGCTGAGGGAGATGCAGATGCACTACTGCTAAGACCTCCTACCTTCATCCTGGCCTCTCTCAGCAGCCAGATGGGCTAGCCAAGCCATAGCATTTCAGTTCCCACACCTGTAAAATGGGTGAAATCACAATGCCTATCTCACAGGGCTGCCACATTCCCTATATAGAGGCTGGTGCATGATAGATACTCAGTACATGTGTATTTCTTTCTTGTAGGAGGTGATGGTGACCTCAGACACACAGTCCAAAGCTTAAACTCTATAGATGAAGAGAAGCAGAAATCGCAGGGCGTGGACTTTGCTGGTGGCCTAGGGGTTAAATCTCAGGCTGTCACCACGGCAGTCTGAGTTCGATCCCTGGCCAGGAAGCTAACCCACATGGTGCAGCAGACCTCTCCTATCTCGCCCGCTGCTCCACTCAGCAGTGTATTTCTGCCTGTTCTGCTCCCCACTCTGTCTCTGGTGAATCCTCTCACCCTCTGCACCTCTGGTCTATAACCCAGTTCTTCTATGCATAAATAAATCTTTGAAAAAAAAATGACAGACTGTCCTTAGGTGTGCTAAATTCTGCATCCCCACAGGTGCCTTGCAGAAGTCACATGCACTCCAGAGTCAGAAGAACCTTCCCCATGTGAGGTTTGGCTGATGTGGGCAGGATGTGTGCAGATCACACATTCGACCTCATAAGGGGAAATTTCTGCTGACTCTGTCTCAAAGGAGGCCATCAAAGGGGGCCATTGGGGAGAGTGTGGGACCTGCTTATGACCCAGGGGCTGGAGGCCCAACCCTGCCTCCTGGATGTGGGTCCACATGAGGACAGAGAGCACAATCCCATGGAGCTCAGAGCCCTGGCTTCTCATCCCTTGACACTTTCCAGTTCTGAAATTGTACCTCCTTCAGACGACTTAGGTTGAGTGAGGTTCATATCTCAGTGGTTCATATCTCAGCTCCATGGAGACAATGACATAGTTTGAAATGTTTTAAATGAAGGACTATAGAACAATGTCTATAGTCCCTCCAAGATAGGTCCTATTATACTCTCCAAGACAGGTCCTATTATCACCCCCACTTTACAGAGGAGAAGACTAATTGTCACAGAAGGTATGTGAAGGACAGCAGGCTTGGGGCACGGTAACTTAGACTCTCCGCCTCCCGAGCACAGCCTCGTGTGGTTCTCACAAAATCTGAAGGAGCTGGCTGCCAGTGGTCACATAGCAATTCAAATGCAAGCCCAGGGACTGCACCTTTATGCCCCCAAGTTGTTTCTGGCTTCTCTTTTTGCCTATGACAAACTGGAGTGAATGTTATGAAGACCCTATTTCTGCCATGCTTTTCTCCCTGTTTCAGTTCAATAACCACAGAACAGAAATGCTGCAAATACCCATGCAGGAAACACCTGTTGCCAACCTTAACTTTTAATTTTACTGTTCCTTCTGGAAAAATAAAAAAATCTTGGAACTTTATTTTCACAAAAGCACCCAACTGAGAGTCAGCGGGCAGGCCTGTCCCATCTCCTTTGCAGTGTACAGCCTCAAGGGCCACCGGCAGATATTGGCTGGGACAATCATAGATGATCTGATACACCGTGAGAGGAAGGCTAACACTCTCATCCTCCTCCTAATGTTCTTGCTTTCCTTTGAGAAAGCCTTGAATCTGGGCTTTCCTTTAGAGGGTCAAAGTACGCAGTCCCCTCCCACCTCAGCTACAGACCGGTGGGGAAGATGAACCCCTCTTTTGAGCCCGAGATGCTGGGGGAGGTGCAGTTTCCACTACTTCCACAAGGTGGCGCAGGACACTCCATCCAGGACTAAGGCAAATTAATCTACTTCAGAAATGGCCAGCCTGGCTGTTTCCTGGCAACCCTCGAGGAGGGCAAACCTGCCTTTTTAGTTAGGTTTTTTTTTTTTTTTTTTTTTCAATTGAAGTATAATTGAATGGGATACAAAGAAGACATACAAATGGCAGACACATGAAAAGATGCTCAACATTACTAATCACCACAAAAAAGCAAATAAAAACCAAAATGAGATATCTTCTGACAGTTGTCAGAATGGCTATTATTACCAGAAAGAAATAAGTGCTGGTTGGGGACTGGGTGTGGAATAGTGGACCCTGGTGCACTGCAGGTACAGTCAATATGGGAAACAGTACAGAGATTCCTCAAAAAATTAAAACTGGAACTTACAATCCAGCAATTCCACTTCTGGGTATATATGCAAAGAAAATGAAAACACTAATTAAAAATGATATGTCTGAATTGTGACCTTTATTTTTCTGCCTTGCACAGACATATCAGAACTTACATAGAATCTAAACATTAGGAATCCCACTCCCCGGTGCAGCACCTTGTCGGATGAGAGCCACAGTCTGCACATGCGAGCTCAGATCCCAGCTCCCTTTTGACAGGGCACTCTCTCCAGTTCTAGGAAAGGGCTTGATGTTTCTATTGATAGGGTATGAGACATGTCATTGACATTTTAAAAGGATTTAATTGGGGAAAAGGGACTGAGGGACTAGCTGGTCTGCTTTGGCTCATCGGTGCCTCTTCCATAGTTAAGGGCTCTTCGCTTCCCCTTAACTCAGCAATTCCAAAAAGCCACTGGCAGAGAAAGCAGCCCTGGGCGCCACATTTTCCACACCATTCCATGGTGCCCAGCCAAAGATGCTCATGCTCAAAATAGATTCTCTCCAATGGAACCACACATCTGACTTTGGAAACCCGCTTGTCATCTTGGTAGGAGAGAAATTATCCCCGGAATTCTAGCCCAGCCGTCTAGCAAACACATACAATGGGCCCACACCTGGAGGCACCGTGGAGCTGTGGGCTGGCATGGAGCTGGTGAGCGAGCATTACCTAGCACAGCGTGGTGCCTTGTGTGGGGAGCAGCCCCTCAGGAACATGATGGTTCCAGGGTGGCCTTCCAGCCACCAGCAAGGACAGATCATGTGACAGAGGTGGAGGAAGCAGACTTTGAGGTGATTTTCATTTGACTGAAGGAATTATACTACGTTTTAAGGCAGTCCATGCTAGGATTTTCACGTATATGGGAAGTGGCTTAAGAACTTCTGGATTTCTGTAAGACTGGACTTCTACTTCACATCATAGCTTCTATAGGACTTGAGTTTCTCTTTAATTATTTGGAAGTGCTCAGTCCTGCAGACACTGCTCTTAGCTGTCTCCTGGCCCCTGTGTCCTCAGCCAAGCCCAGGCTTGGCCACCAATAGCTTTGTGCCTGGATAACTGTGACAACTGCCTTTGAACTGGCCTCTGAGCATCTCTTTATAATCCAGTTTCCACACCGCAAACTGAGTGATCTTTCTAAAACATAAATGTGATCATTTATGTGTTTCCTGGCTTTAAAATATTTTCTGCTGGTCTTATGAAAAATACTACCATTTCTGATGTGAATACCATGACCTACAAGACCTACATGATATGACCCTTTCTTAGCTTGCCAGCTTCCTATAGACCCCTTGCCCTGCACTTCTGCTATCTTAGCCTCTTCCATGCCTTTTCCTCTACCCTTGGAGTGAGCCCTGCTGCCAGAGGCCTGCATATCAGTTCCATATATCTTTATGCTTTAATTTATTCATCTGTAAAAATGGAGACCCGGGCCTCCCTGGTGGAGCAGGTGGTTGAGCACAGTGCTGTGAAGCTGTCCTCAGCCTCTGCAGTGCCGGTTCCATCCCCGCTGATCTTGGAGCAACCCACATGGTGTGCAGACCTCTCCTGTCTCGCCCGCTACTCCCCTCAGCAGTGTGCTTCGGTCTATCTGCCTGTTCTGTTCCCCACTCTGTCTCCGGTGAATCCTCTCACCCTCCTGCGCATCTGGCCTGTACCCTGGCTCTTGTATAAATAAAAAAAATAAATAAATTAAAAAAAAAAAAATGGAGACCCTTAGGGGTTGTCAGGATTAAAGAAGATAATGCAGCAAATAAAGCTAGAAACTCAGTAAAGGTTAGTGATTATTATTTACCAGTTTTAACTCGTGGTTGTCTTCCTGTTCTTAGCCCAAGTGTCAGTTCCTCAAAAGAACTGACAGCTTTGATCTTAGCTTTTGATCAGGTCCTGCTATAGATGCTCTTGCCACATCTTGTACCTCTCCCTTCACAGCATGCTCTGTGGTTATACATGATATGATTGACTTATTTGCAAAATTACACTTAAAAAAATCTGATCAGGATCAGCATCTCTTTAAAGACAATACATTCCATGGAGGCAGGGGCTGCTGTGCACCTAGCACATGGTAGGTGTTAGTAAATGTTTGTTGAGTGCTTTTGTGGGGAATCCACATGTGGAGGTGAGCAATGTTGATGTGTATAGGGTAAGTAAAAATTATCAGCATTTTCTACCCTCCTGCTATTAGCATTAATGATGGGTCCCTGTGGTCCTACATGTGTGCCTAATGGCAGACACCTGGAATAGGGTATGGGCGTGCATAGGTGGGCACACCTGGGCTGAGAGGCTGGGCCTATAAGGGTGGTGTCACGGGACTGCCAGGAGAAAAAGAAACAGCAACGGCAGAGAGAAAGCAGAAAAGAGCCCATAAGAGAATGCCAGAGGGCCCAGAAAGAGTGAAGATTCGCCAGGGACTGGGAGGCCTGCCAGCCTCCTTGCAGCCTGGCCTCCCTGGTCTTCCTGCCTGCCAGCCTTCTTGCAGCCTGGCCTCCCTGGCCTTCCTGCCTGCCATGTACCCGGGTGAGCCATTTCCCACCCTGTGGGGCTCCTTTGTTTGCCCAACCAGTCA